TTTTATATCCGATTATAATTTTAAACGATTAGCAAAAATAGCTAATTTTCGCTATTCGTAAAGCTATAACGGCTTTTTATTTTAATAATTACGAAATATATTATAATTATAATTTTATTATTTTTTTATTTTCGCGGCTTTTTTTTGCTTTTATTTTTTTTAAATTAAATTACGCTATTTAACGCGATCAGAACTAAATTAATAGGCTAGCTTTAAGTAATATTAACGATACGGCTACCCGTTATTTTAATAATAAAAGGTTTATTTTTATTTTTGCCTTTTTTATTTTTATGCTTAATTTTAAATTAGTATTTTTGTAAATAGTTTAAATTAATATTTTTATAAATAGCTTAAATTAATATTTTTAAAAATAGCTTAAATTAGTATTTTTAAAAATAGCTTAAATTAGGTTTATAAATATTATATATACGTCTACGGTTTTTAGCTTTTAATTTTATAGCTTTAGTAAAAGCCAGTAAAATTAGGGCAAGCTATATAATAATTTTATATAAGATCCGCTTTCGTCGGTTTTGCGTAATAGGTTTTAAAGATTTAATGCTGCTAATGCTGTTTTAACGGCGTAGCCGTAGAAATCGCTTACTTTTAACGAATTCCTTTTATACCGATAAGCTTTACGATTTTTAGGTTAATTAGGCCCGAAAATATAAAATTTATAGCATAAATAATAATTTTATTAATTACCAAAATATAATAATAAATTTATTAATCGATAAACGCTTTAGCTTAAATAGCGGCGCTTTTTAAACTAAAATTATAATATTATTTTAAAAGTGCAATATAAAATTATTATAAATAATTTATTAGCGTATAAAAAAGCGCGATAGTAATAAAAGGTTGGATTTTTTACGCGTTATTATATTTTTAAATTTCCGGGCTTTAATTTTAATAATTTTTTAGCTAATTCCCTTTTTCGCATTTTTTTCTATTGCCTTTATTTTTTACTTTTTTTGCGATTAATATTTATATAAAAAAACTAATTTTTAATAGCTTTATTTTTTTTCGATTTTTGCTTTTGCTATTTTATAGCTAGGTTTGGTTTATTTTTATTATTTGTTTTTATTTAATTTTACCGGTCCGTTATATTTTTTCCGGCTATAAAAATTATTATTATTTTTTTTTTATTTTTTTTTTAAAAAAGCCGCTTTTTAAACGGCTAATAAAATAATTACCTTAAAACGCTAACCGTTATTAACGAGCTAAAAAGGCTAAATATATTTAGGAATAATAATAGGTCTTTTTTTAAAATTTAAATTATCGCTATACGCGGTTTTTATAAAATATTTTTCGAAAAAAAAAAGCTCGAGGCGCTTACGCCTGGTGGTTTTTATATTTACGGAGTTGGATATAGCTATTATAACTGCTTATTTTAATTAGCTTGGTAATTTAAATAAAACGTTATTTAAAAATAAAGGTAAAACGATAACGGAAATTTTTATAATTACTAAAGGCTTTAATAATTTTAATCGCTTTTTATTTATTAAAAATAATAAAAGCGAATTTATTTTTATATTTCCTTTTAATAATATTAAAATATATTATAATCCTAATAGGTTTTTTTTTATTAACGGTAAATAATAATTAAATTATTAGCCCGATAATATAAACGTAAATATATTAAAGCAACGTTTACGGCTTTTTAAATTCGATTTCGCCGGTTTTACGCAGCTTATAACCTTAGGTTTCGTATTTATTACGGCTACGATTTCGGGTTTTATATTTATTACGGCTATTACGGTTACCGCGGCTATTACGGCCTAAAACTCCTAATTTTATAAAAAAAAGGGTTAAGTTATTAAGCGTATTATTAAATTTGCCGTTTTTATTAAGACCTTTTTGCCGGATTAATTTTTTAAAAAGGATTTGCGCTTAAAAGCTTTTAAACCGGAAATTAAAGCTAAGCTAACGGCCGTTAATAATTAGCAGCTTAAGCTTTAAAAAAATATCGAATATTTTTTTAATATTATAAAATAGGCTATTAAATTATTTAATTAGGTTATTAAATTATTTTAAAAGCTCGTATTAAATTAAGCTAAGCTTATAAAATATTTAAGCTAAAAGGTATTCGATAATAAATTTTAATAATTAGCGTTAGTATAATTTATATTAAACGTTAATTAAATTTATATAAAATATAATAATAAGCTTATAATTAAAATAATATTATTTTTAAATTTATTTATTTCGATAATTTTTATATTAATTATTAATATATATTAATATAGCTTTAAACCGCGTATTATATTATAAAATAAAATTAATTTTATTTTATAAGGCACCCGTAAGGGCCCGTTAGAATATATTATAGGCTTTTTTATTTAAATACCTTAGATTTTAATATTTACCCCGGAAATAAAATGCGATAAGCTATTATATATTTTACCCTATATTAATAATAATAAAAATAAATAAATTATTTTATTTCGAATATAAAAACTTTTAATATATATATTACCTTACGAGATATATAAATATGCATAATACGGCCGCCGCTTTCCTTAAATGGGCTGTGTCTCTCCTTTTGATATATTGTTTTATGATAAAAAATACTATTTTGGATGGGTTTTGCCCCGCTTATGTCTGCAGTGGGGTAACCATCTCAGGCGGGCATCGCTTAGATCTTGCAGAGACTTGGAGGTGATGATACCAATCATGCGGGCGTTCTCGAGCTGGGCACTTATGGCACCCGCAGCCTTGCGGTCCTTATCTCCTGTCTGATGCTGCAGCGTCATCAAAAGGTGCGTTGGTCGAATGAAAAATGGCGGTAAGATGCGTCAAAGTTCCAAGTTCCTTGTGGAAGAGGCTGTATGATATATCATCCGAGTTCGTCGTGGCCTCATTCGTCTGCAGTGATGCCATGACTCGAGGTTCCCGGCGAGGTTGCCTCACACCTTGAAGCATTTTGTAAAGGATTAATCTGGCTTGCCGGTAAGTCGAAAAAGGCGCAGTAGCGGTAAGAAGTCGGTAGCCTCGACATCTTCGCAGAGCTGAAGCTGTTCACCATCAAGGGTTTGGCGTGGTGACCGCCTCCACGGGGTATGGCCATCGAATTGCTCAGTTCACCGAACCAAGCTGATCTCATCCCACGCACAAAGAAGTACAAGCGAGCACGAATGAGACATGCCTTGGTACTGTACAAATGATGGGCAGATTGGGGGCCAATGGCAACATATTTCTAGGACTTGATCATTGGATTTTATTGGACTCAGCCCACAAGCCACCTGTCCAGAAGAGGCGATGATTGGAGCTGACCTTCCTTTCAATGCACAAGAGTGTCACGACCCCTCTAATCAGCCGGCTGCATCTTCTAAATATGAACGCAGCCTCTTCAGTCTCATCCTGCATTAATCCACTTGACCGGTTGACCACCCATTTCGATTCGCTCGAGGTTGCATTGCTATTTGGGGGGGTTGCTTGCATCTTCACCCTGTGTTACCACACTTTCAAATGACTGGTAGATCTAAGCTGCTCAATGTGCCCAGACCATATTTGCGACCAAGTGAACTGCACCGGTGTCGACTTTGGCCGTCCCGAGCGGTTATGAATGCAATGTCTCGCTATTCAAGCCACCCCCAATGGCTGCATTTCTCAACACTTTGCTTCTGTCGACTGACTCGTATTGTTGACAGAACAATCATCTTTTTCTGAAACATGCCGAGCGCTTCACCACGGTCTACTTGGAGCAGTTGGAGTAGCGGTCGTTCTAGCTGGTCCGAATTGTCTCTTGCGGTGCCAAATCTGCTCCACCTCCGCCGATCCCGACACGGTAGTACCGCCGGAACGAATAGATTGTCGAGTTCGGGCTCCAGCGACTACGGGACGCCAACCCAAACCATAGCGGCCGCGCGCATCGACGAGGCCAAACTTGAACGATTGCTTGACTACAAGTTTAACGGAGATTACACACTTCAAGTAAGAAGAGCTTTTACCATGAACATGCCCGTCTAGCGACAGGTGTCCAGCGCAAAGAGTAATGGCGCTACCATGGGCTGTTTGCGCTACTATATCGTCCGTGTCTGCCCAACCAAACCCCATTCCAGAGGGCCGCAAGAACAGTGCCTATCCCGAGCGACGGCTAGTCCTTTCGGTAATCAAACAGCCGTTGCCTCCGATAATGTCTCTTTGATTATATTCTTGCCTATTCCTTAATAACCACTATCCAAACATTGCCAACGTGGCAATCGTCACTTCAAAATAAAATGTTGCCAGATGCACACCAAATACAATATATCCACATCTCATTTGACATCATCTATCCACGTTATTTTACTATTGTCGATTCCTAGGTGACTACATGCAGATTCGATTGTTCTGACTCGCACAGATGCATTCAAATAAATACAAGTTGTACACGCCCAACGGCAAAAGGTTGACAAGGGAAGAGATTTTGGGATGTCACGATTATCGATAAATATGTATGATCAAAGGCGGGCACGTGTAAATACAGCGCTGTACGATAGCCACAAGACCATCGAGAGAAGTCGCGAAGATTTCTTCCAATTCACGTATTGTCATGGCATGATGAACCATCAGACAGTACGAGACCTTGCTAAGACGCCTCGAAAATCCTAGGCCGAAGATGAAGTTCCATACAACAGCATAGCCACCGACCACAAAAGCGGTGAGTGTCTTTGGGAGATACGCTAGAGTCCAGAAAACGCAGCAATGTCATGTGGAAGAATAAGAAACTTCCTGTACTACATACCTACGTGGCATTGCAAGGCATCTTGTGTCACTCTGCCTCCCCGGGCCAGTATGCGGTCTTGGCCGATCTTCAAGGTAGATGAAGAAGGGGGGACTGTGGGGCATGCAGCTGTACGATAAGAATGATAAATATTCGAAGCAGCCTTGCACATATTCTCAAAATTCCGCTCTGCCATTTCGCAATTTCCCATCCCTCTTTCACTCAATGCAGAGCTTTTGGATGCCTTTTCAATCGTCCCATTACATTGCCTGGTGCTGACCTCATATCGAGACTCGGCATGGACTCACCATACCCGCCTCTCTGTTCCGCGTGTCAACGCATATTCGATCCTGGCTCGTGTGAGCTCTGGCAATCAAGACACAATCAACATATTGATGAGTTACAAGGCTCGTACATGGTGTATCATTCAACATCACATCAAGAACGCGAACGTTCGAGGGCAGCAGGATGCTGGATTTGTGATAGTCTTGTCAATCAACCCAACTTTGAAGGCTTTAACGAAATTCTGTTCTACACAATTAAGCGCGATGGCGAGAACTCCCTTCTGTACAGAATCACATTCTATGGTGACGAACAGCTTCGAGTATTACCACAACTAAGACATAGTTTTCTTCAAATCATTGCTCGACGGACTGAACTGCCATCAAGCTTTTTTGACAATGCGGCGAAATCCAGGTCATGTGTCTCGACGGGCCAACCTGAGGTCTTGCAGCTGGCCTTGGACTGGCTCAAAATCTGTCAAGAGTCCCATCATTGTATGGCCCGACCGACGGATGGCTGGCATCCCAGTCGATTGCTCGATGTATCTCGTGACGACTCTGTACGTTTAGTGATTACAGCGGATGAGCAAACTGTTGGAAACTACGCCACATTGAGCTATTGCTGGGGCAAAGATCGTTTCCTAACGATGACACCAAACAATATTTCAGAGTTCAAGGCTGGCCGCTCGATCAAAGACTTCCCTTTAACCTTTCGAGAAGCCTTCACCGTAACAAAATCCCTCGGAATCAAATACTTGTGGATCGACAGCTACTGTATAATGCAAGGAGACAGCAACATAGCGCGCGATGACTGGGATCGTGAAGCACAACAGATGTGCAGCGTGTATACCAACTCTTTTCTGAATATTGGCTCTGCCCATTCTGATGGTCCCAAGTAAGCAGCTTCCTGTACAGCCTCTGCCCTGTTTTAGTCTGGCTTTGCTGCGGCGGTGTCGGATCAAGATCGGCAAATCATTGCTTGGTCTCTAAGAATCGACCGACAAAGGAATTGCTAACTAATGGTACTGTAGTGGCGGCCTCTTCCACAAACATGCTATAAGCGATTGGCAATATTTCATCAAGTGGCAGCCAACAAGTGATGACGATGAGCTGCTTCTCGAGCTGGAGGTTGACGGACCCAGCTTCAACGAGATATATAACTTTACTTCAAGGAGTTTGATGAGTTCCGTTATGTCAACTCGGGCTTGGATTGTCCAGGAGATTGTGTTGAGTCCTAGAATGCTCACTTTCACCGATGAGCAGCTTTACTGGCAATGCTCTGAGTCGCACGCCTGCGAAGCATTCCCACTTCAGACGTCCAACGGTATTGACCATACGAGGAGATGTAGTCCATTCTGGGTAATGGAATCTGGTCGCCAGTACCCTCCTTCTAACAACGGAAGTGCTTCTATTGAGCTGCGAAGATTGCGATCAAGATGGTTCCAAATCTTGGATTTGTACTTCAAAGCGAAATTATCATACCCAGAGAAAGACTTGCTCAAAGCATTAGACGGTATAGGACAACGATTCGCTCAGCTTACTGGCCAAGCTTATTGGGGTGGAATATTGGAAGGCACATTTCCACAAGCCTTGCTATGGGAGACACAGACAAACCACCACCGCGACAGCTACTGTGAGCTTGGACCATCGGGGCTCGCCCCTAGTTGGCATTGGGCATCCCATAAATCAGCTTCCTATTTTGAGAACCAAATGTACGAGCCAGATCCAACGTCGCAGGAGCTTGTGCTGGCCCACACATTCTTATGGGAGGACGGTATGCCCTTCGATTCAAAGACTGCAAAAGACGCCGCGCTCAACGTGCAAGGGCCCGCTTTGATATGCATAGGCAGGTTACTAAAGCTTAGATTAGCAGATCTCCATGAAAACGGTCATTTCCACCCAGGTTTGGTACAATATCCATTTGATTCCATCTCATTCAGCTCCATCGATGCGGGGAAGGTCGATGACTTCAAGAACGCCCGGCTAGGCGAGCTCAAATTCTTACCTCTCTTGATGACTTACGGGAAAATCATAGAAGGGGTGGTAATCTGTACCGACAAACACGGGTTCAGCAAACGAGTTGGTTATGTGAAACTGATGGGTGAGTCACGAAACGGTGATGCTTTTCAACGGGAGTTGTTGCAGGAAAAGCCGCGTTTGATATTCATTGAGTGATCGGCTCGATTTCACTGGTAGCCTAGGTATTCAGCCGAAACTGGTCAATCTGGCGTGATTGAGGAGACGTTGTCCAAATTTGATCTAATACAGATTATAAATTTGACTATACAAGTGCTATTCTGGCATGAATCCCAAACGCCAACATGATATGCAGAGATGGGATATCTAAGAAAACTCGAACACCAACGCCGTCATCTACTTTCTCTCTCCCCAAAAGACCCATCATGCTATCGAAAACAAATATCTCATTACAACCAGGCAATCAACCCATCTAGCGCTGCAAGTGGTCCAATGTGAGCAACGTAGCAATCGGGCCGCACCAAAACGTAGCCAGGCTTGCTTCCAAATCCGTAGACCCGGTGCGCCTCGCCATCAACATCTGTCCAGCCCGCCATTTGCTGCTTCTCACCACCAGCAAAGACGGTGTGGACCTTGGTCCGGGTGTGGCTGGCCTCGAGGAACTTTGCCTCGGCGCGGTGCAAATCGCCCTCGGTAGCCGCATCGGGTCCGGTACCAGAAAAGAGTACAAGATGGTGACTACCCGGCGTCAAGAGGTCCTGGAGGTACTGCTCGTCGCCCTCGGGACCCCGGAGGCTCGCCTCGGGGGCGCGGAACCCGCCCAGGACAGGGCCCGTGAAACCGGCAGCGGTGCCGACAATGGAGCTGCGGCGGTACTTGACGCCAAACTGGGTCATGAACTTGAGGCCGTTGAGCACGCGCTGGGGGCTGCTGGTCATCCACGGCAGGACCCAGGGCAGGATGAGGTTGCGCAGAAACAAGAAGACGGGGTTCTGCGACGACGCAAAGCTAAACATGCGGTCGCTGTTGCGCAAGAGGTACTCGCCGACGCGGTGGCGCTCCTCATTGTACGTGTCCAGGAACGCCTCGGGTTTCTCGCCCTTGAGCACGGCGGCTAGCTTCCAGCCCAGGTTGATGGCGTCTTGGATGCCCGTGTTCATGCCCTGGCCGCCGGCGGGGGAGTGGATGTGGGCGGCGTCGCCGGCGAGCAGGAGGCGGCCCTCGCGGTAGTTGCTGGCAATGCGGTGGTGCAGGTGGAACGCGGCGATCCATCTGGGGTCTGATGCTACTGCCGTCCCTGGGAAGACCTTGTTGAGGAACTTTTGAAAGTCCTCGAGGGACAGATCTTTTTCGCTAGGCTGGTTCGGCCGCGAGACAATGAGACGTGAATATCCTCCTTGCATGGGAAGAATGTTCATGACGCCTTGGTCCATGCAAAAATAGGCTCGGTCGTTGGGATACGGCTCCGACTTGAGGCGCACGTCGGCGAGGATAAACTCTTGCTGATACGCGTCTCCGTCAAAGGTGATGGACTTGGCCGCGTGCCGCACGCTGCTGTGCGCGCCGTCTGCGCCGACGACGTACTTGGCTCGGATGGTCTCCTCCTTGCCGTCTTGCGAGGTGAGCACAACTGTAACCCCCTCGGCGTCTGGCGTAATGGTCTTGGCCTCGATACCCATTTCAATCGTGATGCCTTGCTTTGCCAGCAACGAGTCGAGATACTCTTCGCTATCAGCTTGCGATATCACCACGGGCTTGAGGAATTGCGTCGTAGTGATTCCTTTCCAGTCCGAGCTCATGTCCGTGACCCATTGGCCCTTGACTGCAAAAGTAGTGACACGGGCCGAGAAGCCGCGGTCGAGAAGTTCTTGGACCTTGCCATAGCGATTCAACAGCTCCTGTGTCCTGGGTTGTACCACGAGGGCGCGGCTGTATGGTGAGCGCTCAGCAGCTTTGTTGATGATTCTAAAGGGGATTTGCTGAGCGGATAGCTCGAGGGCTAGCGTTTGGCCTGTTGGTCCTCCACCAACAATGAGAACGTCGACATTTGTCATGGCAAATATTCGAAGTGAGTATATAGGTGGAAATGATAATGTAAGTGTCTAGCCAATAAACTCGCTGGTCAATTGGTGCTTGAAGGATAATTGAGTTTTGATATGGAATGTGTCTCAACTGTGTTGATAGTGTTTGATGCTTTGCCACGGGAATGTTTGGCAAAGTGAGTGCAGTTCCACATGTTTATATATATTCTATCAAGGAGTCTCGTTGTTTTCTTATTATCTTGGCAGCTTTGACTTTTCAATCTCGGGTCCGACGCCACACGAATGGTCGTCCCCGTGGAATTGTCGTGCTCCGTCTCAGCTCAGCGCAGAAACGGCGTTCGCGAGCAACAGGAATGTTGCGACTGTCCAGAGACTATGGCCCCGTCGCGGCACAGCTCCGTCCGCTTAAGCTGACATGCCTTAGTCAACTGGATCCGCTGCCAGCAGCTTGCTGCTTGGCCAGGGCCAATGAACCAACGGCACCTAAGCCTAAGCAGCGTTCGCTCTCAGCTGTCGGCGATTCGCGCTCCCACCCACCGATGCCTCCCCGTAAGACCGACCGTTGGTCTCTTGGCTTTCCCACTCTTCACGGCGCACGACGGCGTCATATGATGCTATAGCAGCACGCGGCGCCCAAAAAAAAAAAAAAAAAAAATATCAACCTAATTACTGTTCACAGACAATCATTACCATATTGTAACGGCACTATCGAGTATAGTTTACATATCAATAATCAGACTCTAGTTTCGCTGTCTGTCTTTCCAAGTGCTGGACCTTCTTGATTACGACCCGCTACGGTGTAACTGTGAAAAGATCCGACTGTGTCCGTTTCAACGAACTGAAGTCGGAATCAATCGAGGCTTGGATGACTCATTTAATTGCGGCGTTTGAAAATATAACGAAAAGTCTCGATTATTTACTGCGGTCAGCAGGGAAAAGCACATTTCATGTATGACGACGGAGCTCGTTTTCTTAGTCAGTGGAAGATAGTCTAGTCCGTCTGGCCCCTCGGTCATCACTAATGTCCGAGTCTTGTGTTGCGCAGAGTCACCAGCAAAAACATTTTTAGGTTCCTGTTGAAGATCACAGTCGCGGCAGAACTTTCATCATTTGCATGTCATCTTGACTTGAGTAGATTCTCAGTATTCTCATTCATAGGACATATTCTTGAAGTATTTTCACCTAGCGATAGCTTGTTTCGCCCGATGAGAGTCGTCGTCTAGATGAGTCTGTAAGTTTGCTCACTGCAAAACCCCAATGCAACCCCTTTGAAGGGCTCTTCCATCTGCACGCCTTGAATCCGAGCTTGGCACATCAATGATGCCAAAGCACAAGTCTAATCTACATGACAATGTCAAACCAGGCAAGAAAGCATTCATTTTTGGTCTAGTCAATGCTTCGATAATCGCCATATCAGTATAATCATGCATTGCATAAAGCATCTGTTGTAAACCTCGTCCACAACACCAAACGCCTGGCTCCGTCGCCCCTTTCCGAGTACAAATATCAAAATAAAGCATTGCGTGGAGTGGTTGAGGTAAGAATAAAAGGAAAACACCCCGTCACCGTTCAAACAGACGGCGCATAGGCAGTAGAGCTCATCCAGATCATCTAAGAGTGACTGGCGAGCTTTTGCAAGGTTACGAGAACACCTGGGGGAGCATGTGTTAGCTCACTGTTTGGCTGGGTAACAATACGACTGATGAATATTGGTTTTTACTTACCGGTCACACCCTGAGTGAGAGTGGCCTTGGCTTCAGTGTTGCGACTGCTCAAGCCAACAGTGACGACATTCTGCACCGACTTTTGCTGCTTCAGACCGTTTGCCCACTTGAAAACATTCTCGTCCTCGCGTCCGTCGCCGATGACCATGAGGAAATCAATGGGGCCAGCCTTGTCGGCATACGGCGCATTCTCAATGTGCTCCTTGTAGACAACTTCGGCGGCTGATTGCTTTGTCCAATCAATGGATTCGACAACCACCGAGTTGTCAAGCTGTGTAGCGTGGACTCGCTGATTCTCGCAGGATTCGTTGATATGACCAGTCCAGTCGCTAGCCTGGCGCTCTGCCATGGCAAAGTCTTCCGCTTCCTTATAGTGGAAGACCAGAGAGCAGTGGCGCTCCTCAATCTCCGCGCCGGGGGTACGCTCGAGGTAGTAGTTGAGAATCGAATTGACCGATGCCTTCCAAGTAGATACGGACGACTTGTCAGCGAGCTCATCCCAGGAGTCGGTAACGGCGTGCTTGATGAAGCATCCGTTCTCGGCAATCAGACCGAGATTTGGTACCAAGCGGAATAGGCGGTCAAGTTCCTGAGGCCGTCTGGCCGACATGATGTAGACCATGTTGCGGGGATCCTCAACCAGGTCATTCAGGACCGAGATTGTGCGCTAAAGTGTGTCAGCCAAGTCATTTGCATTTACAGTTGCTCAAGACATACCTGGGGATTCATAGGAATCATGGAACTCATGGGGTTGTTGGGAATTAATGTACCCTCAAGGTCCAAGAAAAAGAGGCGGCGCTGGCACTGTCCATAGACCTTTTCAAGCTTTTGCAAGTTGAGACGTGGGATGGAAGTCTGCGCGTGATCGGCTTGTTCCTCGTAGACGCGATCGAGCTGGTTCAGGAACTCGGTAAACCAGTGGCCACCAGTGTGATGTTCCACTGCCTTGTATAGCTTGCCCCAGCGCATGGCTTTCTCCTCGTCTGACATTTCCAAAGCCTTCAGGATAGCTTCGGAGCACTGGCGATAACTCCAAGGGTTGACTGTAAGTTCGTTGCCTCCGAAAAGCGATGATGTTCCTGTGAACTCGGACAGAATCAAGGAGCCGTGCTTCTTCTCGTCGATACTTCCATCCTGGCACAGGAGGAATTCGTGAGAGGTTAGGTTCATGCCCTCACGCTGACTTGTGATCATGACGGCGTCGGCAATCGTGAGCAGAGCGAGGTACTGGGAGTAGGGGATATCCTGCTTGAGGTAGACGAGGGGCTGATATGCCAGGTTGGCATAGGCCGAGTTGACTCGTGTCACAATGTCGCTGACAGCCGCATCAAGATCAGACTTCTCACTCGAGGAGAGAGCCACTTGAATGAGGACAACCCTGTCTCTCCACTGAGGGTTCTTATTGAGAAACAGCTCATAGGACAGTAGCTTCTGGCGAACGCCGCGAACGTGATCAAGCTTGTCGCGTGCCACGATGAGCATCTTGTCCTTGTACCTGTCCTTCATAACATCAATCCACTTCTTGACTTCAGCGTCCTGGCGGTGATGATTGAGGCTCACGGGGTCAATGCCGATGGCGTGGTTCATGACATTGACAAAGCGGTCGTCGAGCTGGATACCCTGTGGTGTCGCTTCCACGTTCTTCAACAGTCTGCTGCATGTCTGCAAAAAGTGTCGAGTGTACTCGGGAATCTGGAAACCAATCAAATTGGCGCCCAGCATGCCCTCGAGCAACTCCTTGCGCACGGCGAGGCACCTGAAGACTTCGGATGAAGGGAAAGCGACGTGAAGAAACAATCCAATTTTGGCATCGGGGATCTTCTGACGAACCATTCCCGGGACAAGTAGCAAATGGTAATCATGAACCCAAATGGTATCACCTCGCTTCCAGTTCTTAATGATCTTGTCGGCGAATGCTTGATTCACGTTGACGTAGAACTTCCAGGAATGGTCCTCGTATGCTTTGCTCTTGGGATTGTCGGGAATCTGGTAGTGAAAGACGGGCCATAGGATTTGTTTGCAGAAATGCGAGTAGTGCCCATCAAAGTCCTTGTCCGTAGGGAACACTGTCAGCATGTTGTATTCGGTGGCCAGTCGGTCGTGAATATCGTCCCGCTGTTGAGTTGCGTCCAAAGCATCCACGGGCATTCCGAGTGTGCCGACCCAGGTGTGCTCTGCATCGTAACCATCGCGACTAGCAGCATCGGCAGCGTTGCGGAGGCCTCCGTTGCCTTGGTCGGATGTGACGATGCGCCAGTTTGCATTGGCAAATACTCGGTCATGGCTGTCGCTTCTCTGTGCGCGCGGCTGTACAACACCCTGCCTTCCCAATTCCTTAGCCTTGGCAAAGGTTCGTGAGTGTTCAAGCAACGACGCTGGAGGCGGAGAGCTAGCTCGCGACTTGGGCTGGTTCTTGCGAGCACCCCAGAGCGGAGATTCCTTGTCGGTTGGCCCAAAGCCGGTACTGATGGTGTCATCATCAGTAATGTGAATGCGGACACCATCCTCGTTTACAAAAAGTCCATCATCTGATTCCACAGCTTCATCATCGGTTGGCGTGCGCGGCGGCGTGTTTGTTGGATGGGGAGCAAATAGACTCGGTTGGGTGTCGAGAGTTGGTCTCTGGTTGTTCTTGCTGTTGAGCTTGGCAGTGGGTGCTCGGGTAAGTCTGCCGCCTTTTGAGGATTTTATCGGGGCATCTGGAAGCTGAAAGTAGACTGTCTTTGGAAGAAACCTTTATGGTGCAGAGTTAGCAGAAACTCGGGCAGTAGTTGAAGCAATGTTGAAGCTTTGCCAGTCCGAAGCACCAGGGGAAAAAAAGAGCAGAGGCGTGATTTTACTCACAAGGACGCAATGAAGACGGTCATGATGGGCGACCGTGGTTCTTAGTACAAGAACGCCCAATATGTGTCTAGTATACAGATGAAAGAGGGAACCAAGGGTCAAAGAGAGGAAGAAGAAGAAGATGAAGAAGTGTAGCGCAAACGACGCAGGAAGTTGCCTTTCCTGGCAGGCAATGATCGACCTGATTGGTGAGGGGAGCTTTTTGTGTTGCAAGTACTGTAGGGTGGAATCGGGGGATTTTTTTTTTTCTTTGACGGAGTATGCGATCGATGAATCTGATGTCACAAATGAGGGTCTTCTACCCGGTCTTGCGCCAGGCTCGTAAGGTGGGTTAGGCCGACGACGAGTGGACCACGACGGGGGCTTGGATCAAAGTAAAAGTCTTGGGAGGTGCTTCTTTGCTTTTCTATGATTGAAATTGTAGAAGAAGTTATTGGGGAAATAATAATAAAAAAAAAGGTTGTGTCTAGGAAGGTACAGGGAGAGATGGACGGTGAGAGAAAGAGCTCTGTCTAGGTCAAATCACATGGTTAGCTATTTTGGATTTTTCTTCTTCTTCGTCTTCTTGGGCGTTTGTTTCGATGTCGTCAAGGTGACCAATGAAGAAAAATCAAAGGACCACGACCCAGGGCGCGGGCCACGAACGCGACTTAAAAGATCCACATTTAGGCATAGAACTTCAAGGCAGTCTTGGGAAGATTCTCGTGGCAATCCAATGACGGCTCATTGAGTTCCACAGAACCAGACAGAGGAAATACAAGAGAGTGAGTGCATCAAAAAGGAACTCATTCAGGAACGCCTGTGACGTAAGGCCCGGAGCGAATGGATGCGCAATTCGACAGCTCTTTTTTTTTTTTTCTCCCTTTGGTTCTTTTCTCTTGTGGCAGTGGACGGATGGATGAATGAATGGATTTGGGACCGTCTCTGTGCTTGGCTGGGCTATGGCGCAGGCCAGTGCTTTGGTTGCAGATTGCAGGACATACGTACCTCAAAAAAGTAGAGCTTATTGGAAGGAAGCCCCCAGGAAATCCTAAAAATGACCAGGGAGAAAAGACCAGCAGCCTTGTAGTAGTGATCGTAGCTGCAGTTGTAGCTGTAGCTGTAGCATGTACTACTACAGGTACAGGATAGTGCAGTGCCTTAGCTGGAGGTGGGCATGAATTTTACCCAGGCACACGGCTGCTTCAACGCCCCGAGAGCTCCTAAATTTGGCGCTACCGATCAGAGGGAACGGCAGATCAGTGGTCGCAAGCCACGCCAACAACGTCAGTCAATGTAATACCCCCGGACGGATAGATGCAGGCCAGACAAGGCAGGCTGGGCTGGACTGGGCTGGGCTTCGAGGTAATGTAGGTATCCCGTAAGCTGTAAGCTGAGTGAGTGTGCAAGCTGGGGGGTGAGCTTTCGTCCAGGCTACTCCTGTGGCCAAATAGTAGTAATAATATCCAAGAATAAGCTGTGCCTGGCTGGGGGCGGGACTTGGCTGGCTTGTTCTTTTTTGTCTGTTCGGCTCTTGTTCCGTGGGTTTGCCGGGACTGGCTGAAACAAATCTTCAGGATCTGGGAAGGACGAGCAGCAGGGCGTGCTCAGACTTTCTCTCTGATGACGACGTTGTTCAGGTTTCTCGTTTCCTCCTGTACATGGCAACTTGTCTGTCAGAAAACTGGCTTCATCTTATATCCCCCCGAAGCTCTGTGGCTGTCTGCGAATCTTCTCCCAGCTTCTGGTTTTCTGGCTTCTGACTTGTAGTGTGTGCCGGTCCTCGTCAAGGTTACGCACACTGCATAGCGAGCCCAGAATAATAGAAAAGGCACGAGAAAAAGATGGAAACTCTGCCAAGTCTGCATAGTCGCCCATATCACAACTTTGCAGACTGATCGGTCTTGTGTGGGCCACTGACCCTGCATGGCGACTGATAGAAGGCTCTATCGGCTCCAGCAACTATGCCACCCAAGGAGGTTTTGGTCCGGCGTACGGAATAATTGTGGAAATGAACGAAAACACGGCAATGAGTAGTAGTATTGAGACCAAACAAGTTGACATGCTGGCCAGGTCTCGCAACAAAGCTGTTTTTGGAACAAGAAAGTGACAACTTACAAGAGAAAACTTGCATTTCCCAACAGGAATGGTAGCAGCCGGGATAGGTAGGTGTGAATGACGCAGGACTGATCTCCCTTCTCTTGTTCTGTCCAGGTACTTTGCGTTGTTGGTGGATGGTCGTACTGTATTGACTGGAGGCTTGGACGGATCAAGGACAATCCTTTTGGTAGCCTACGGTTTGGATCCGAATGTTGTTTGGGAGTGAGTATTATTATTGTACGATTCCTTTTGGCTTCCACCTCCGTCATCAGATCACAGCGAGAATAGAGGTGGGAAACTTCGAGTACATGTAGTCTTCTCCTCTCAGTCGCCCAAGAAACAGAGCCAGCTATGGCAGGACAAACCTTACACACTACTAGTAGGGCATGGATGGATGTCTTCGTCGAAACTTTCCGAAGAGCTTCGCAAGCGTCCAAGGCCGATTGACAGGGGCTGACAACTTTTCTCACGCACACACTTTTTCCTGTTGCAAAGCTCGCTCGCTCCCTCGTCAATTCGCCGGTTCAGTTCTAGTTCTGGTTTCCCGGCACCCCAAGCACCGTCGCACCGTGCGCAGCCCCATCTTGAACCAAGACGTGGGTCGTCGAGGTTGTTTGGGGTCTCAAACAGGGATCCAAACGGCAACGTCGCTTCTTGCGGGCCAACCAAGCGCAATCCCAGGCCTACTCAATCTTCCAGCTCTTTGGCATGCTGTCTCCATTGGCCACCTCGTACATGCCCCAAGGTACCGACGGCTGCTATGTACAGTGGGCATGCAGGCAGGTAGGTATGTCATGGACATTGGGGGTTCAACATCAAGCTGCCAAACCTCAAGCATGGTACTATATTGTCTGTTTGTGTGGTGGTTTTCTTTCTCTTCCCTTGTTAGCGCACATGTTCTCGAGCCGTTGAGCCGAGCCACGTCCCCACGTCTGGGAACGTGGCTTCGAAAGGCGACTCTGTGTAATGGAACCGACTGCAAATGGGATCTTGAGACCGGATGGCATTCCGTGTCAAACAGTCCGACCTGCCAACTAACTTTGTGTGACCTGCCGCACGCAATCAGCGCCCATTTCAAACCCCATTGCCCACCAAAAATCCACGTCCCCTTCATCCTTTCGACACGTGCGAATCCATGTTGTGGAGCTTGGTTCTCGCGCCCTACACAGAAAACTCTAGTGCAGGCCAACGGAAGTCGTTAAACTAGGTTAGTGTAGTAGATCCCGTATTGTCGAAAAAGTTAGATTTGCGGTTAGTCTCTTCAGCAACATGGTATTCCCGTGCTCTTTGGCCCAGAGTATAAACCGCTGTGCTGTCCTGTCAATAAAGTTACCATTTGCCCAAGCTCTTGGTCTGGACTGTCGATCTGGTTCCTTCTCCTCCAATTCATCATCATCAGTTAGTAATAGTTCCCCTCCGCTATCATTTTGGCGTTGTTCCCCCAGCGGTAGAAACTCGTCCATTGTACGTAACTTAGTTATCGATCGCCGCTCCAATCAGCTAGTCCGTGTCTCACTGGCATGGGCTCATCCGCTTTGTCATGGGAAATGTCACGTCCCAGCTTGCAAGCTTCGAAAGCTGAGCGCCTGACGATGACCCAGGTCTCGGGCATGTCAGCTCAATATTCGTTGCCAGTCAGCATGACGCGAGTCCAGCCTTGATTGCCGCAATCCTCGTGGTGAAGACCTCGACATCGGGGAGCACACGAGTGGTCCGTTTGATTGTGCAACGATATCGGTGGTCACCCGTACGCATTTCGGCGGTCCAGACTCGCTTTGTTTGCCAGTCTACTGGCTTGGATTTTCTGACCTAGACAGATATAACTTACCCTAACCATTGGGTAACCATGGTCAAGGTGTTACCATTGGCCAAAAGTAACTTCTTTACAAACGTTCATACGTCCATACTTGGCGAATTATTAAGCGCCTACATGTCGATTTAGCTAGGTACTCAGCTGCGATGCATAATAGCCCGCGCATCTAGCTCGCCATCATGCAAGATGCAAGACACCAAGCAAGATAGCTTGAATGGCGGGGGAGGGGTAGCTTCAATCTTGAGCAGCAAGGTTAAGTTTAAAGAAAAGACGTACTGTGTATATCGTCCTGTAGCATGCCGACCTTGCCTGGTTTGCATGTGCCCTGTTTCGCATCGATGCAATTGATTAGTATCTGGGCATCATTGGAGCCGTGCCAGGTGATCTAGCTTCCAGATCTTCCGTGTCGTGGCAATTGTTGCATCGACCATTCTATTTCCGGACCGCGACTGCACCACGTCGCTAACAGCTGGGCTTTGCCTGCGTGTCAGTAATGTACTCTGTAGATATCCCCAGAGCCTTGCCTACGTACGTACCTGTATGGTTTTGGTTATTGCCGATCCACACGACTTGATTGGGGATAGCCACGGAACATTGGGCAAGCATGTTCGCATGCCCAAACCCGCAGCCCGCCCCCAGCTGGGTGTTCTTCTATGTCCATTCCCACCATTCAACGGCTCTCCGCAAGCCTCGTGCTGATATTGACCGGCCAGGCGACAAGACGCCGACGACTGACCAGGCGAATCAGGAACAGTATCAAATTTGATTTTATTCCTTCCCCTGCAGCAGACATTGCCAGAAATCGCGCACTGCCATTCGGGAGCTTTGAAACTTTTGTCACAACCTCCTGCAGCTCCTATTTGATGCGGCGGAGCATACCTAGGCAGGTAGACCAGACTGGTGTACTAACCCCGAAAACTCCCGAGTCGCTCGCTCACAATGTGTCGCTGGCAGCCTGGAATAACCCAACACCAATGCCCCCATGCTAGTAGTGATGCCAGCGAAACCATTGCCATTCAGCCGTTGTCTCTTTTCATGCTGCTTGTGAGGCCCCTTCTTGGGTTTTGCCAGATCCTCAGTGACGTGGTAAGTACAACATGATCAGATCCTTGGTTGAAGGAGGCGGCATTCTTGTGGGATCCTCGACTTTGGCGACTTCGCCCCGTTTCCAGGAGCATAAATCGGTGTCGTTGTCATCATTTGTGGCTGACAGGAATCTACGGCCATTCTTCCCGACAGCAGTTGAGGATAAACAGAAAGGGACGGCCCGTTTCACAAAACTAAAGAGGTCTTGATCCAAATTCCAGCGGGTCCTTGCGCCTGTCGAGCACGCACATGGCGTGGAAGTGACAAGTACCGAATCTGGTTGAGCTGGTGATCAAACATGCGGTGGCTTATTGGGTAGACTGATTGGCAGTTGCGGGTATGCCGTGAACTGTCTTCAGACTGTACATGCACCCTCAACCCTGGGACTTGCGTGCAGTACCGAGCTGCATGTACATATGCATGCTAATCTGATGTATCGTTTCCTCCAGGCTGGTCCAGCTCTTGAAGATAGTGCTCTTCTTGCACAACATGATCTATGTGGTGCCACGATCATTCAGTCTGGAGTGTAACCTAGACAGTCGTGGCATTGGTTTGCGGCGATAAGTGTCGTTCGGAGAGTATCAGAAACCTTGCGCCCGAGTCGATGCGCGCTTTCCGTCGGGTTCACAATGACTTGCGCGGCTCCTCGGGTTTCGTGATACCCTCGTATTGCTCATCTGGGCCCGACCTATCGGCTTTTAGCAGTCTTGCTGAGTGCGTACCATAGTCCAAAGTCTCGGCACTCTCCTTCCCTGTCATTCATTAGTATGTGACCCGCGCTATCGTTCTCCGAGTAGAGCTTACCGGTCAGTCATATTCATCACTCCGGTCTGAATTAGTGCTGCCATCACGCTGTCAGCTGTATCCTTTTTCATAGGATAGCATAATTTGAAGGATCAATCCCAGCGCCCGGGATCAGTGTAGTCATCATGAAATCATTGATGGATTATTGCGTTGTCTGTGATGCGTTGTACATAGCCTCGATGCTCACATTTCTGGTCAACTGACTAGGTGCTCGTGCCTATACTTGGGTGCAAAATACCATATTCTTTCTGCCGCCTCACTCATCATAGCAAGAGCAGCAATCTATGGGTGTCGTCCTGTGCGCAGACAGTCAAATCGGTGAAAAACATCATTCAGTCTCCAACATGAATTCCTGCTCGGTTAGGATCCCATCAATAGAGCGCCCTGCAGCGGAGTCCCTTTCGGACTCTTCCTCGTCGTCGTCATCATCCACCACAGTCCCGTAACTCCTGCTCTCAATGTCATCCATTCTTTCAGCAAACTCATTCTGCAACTTGATTAGATAGCTTCCTAAAGCTGCATCATCCATGTCTCCTTCCTCCATTTGCTTTAGCATTTCATGCAACTGTAGGATCAGATTTCTTCGACGTTTCAGCTTTTGGAACTGGGAGTTGTCCCTTTTCCGCTCGATTTGTCGCCTGAGCTTGTGGGACGTGGTCTCGGCAATATGGAGAAATGAATCGGGAAATCCCACAACCTTTGCAAGATGAAGCCCGTAATGTACCTCATTGAGTGGCCCTGAGTCAACTTTGTACAGCATGGTCATCTTTGGGGTCTCTGCCAGTTCGGTCGGTGAAATATCCGTGCCAAGGTGTAGATTCAGAACCCCTGGACGACTGCCGAGAACTTTGGCTACCAGCTTCATTAGTATCAGATGCAAGGCAGTTCACCAAAGGATCAAACCTACCCAATTGATGGAAATGTGTTGCAAACCATATCATGGACTTGCTCTGTATCAAGGCCTCTGATATCGCCAGTGCAATAGCAAGTCCATCTCTTGTACTAGTTCCGCGTCCAAGCTCGTCAATAACAGCTAGAGCTTTGCCATTGATGTTGCCTAGGATGAAAGCCATTTCTCTCATTTCAGTAGAAAAAGTTGAGAGATTTGCCTCAATACAGTCATCCGTAGACATACGCACAAAGAGATGCTCGACGATAGTGAAATGAGCATACTCGGCGGGGACGAAACAACCGATCTGTGCCATGATTTGCAGGAGTGCAATCATTCTAATGTATGTGCTTTTGCCGCTCATGTTACATCCCGTAATGATTTGGAAGCGGCGATCCTCGCTCGCGTATACATCATTGGGCACGAACTTTCCTTGCAACATCTTGTGCCATTTCTATTCAGCAATGCTTTCAACGTTATTTCGGAAACAAGCATGTCTTACCATTTCAATGATAGGATGTCGAGCCGCTTTCAAGGCCAGTGTGTCCCCGAATTCTGGTCTGATGTAATCTCTGGTTGTAATAGCTTGTCCGAATGCGGCAAGCATATCGAGGAGTGCGATGCCCTCACAGGCACGGAACAGGTTGGCGACGTGCCCCCGGATGGCATCCAACAACTCTCGTATTACTTTGTCGCTCAGCATGACAGTTTCGTTGTGAGAGTCGGTGATGCGATTGTTAAGCTGGACAAGACAAAGTGTCTGGCACTCCAAGTAACCACCTCTTCGCACCCGATTAATCAAAAGATCAGGTATGTCTCTACCTTCAAGCTCACAGTCCTTGACGCGTATATAATGCTTTCTGTTGTCATCGTATTTGATATCGAAGGAAAGCTCATTCTCAGCTACAAAGTAGAATTAGCAATTATATGACACACTAAGATAACTGATTACCTTTGACTTTTTCAACGTGTTCAAAGACATCATCTACTCCCTCCTTGTACGTCTGCCGAGCGACATCAAGCAGACCATGAACACCCGACTGTGGCCATTAGCTTGGTGTCTCATGTCCGGGAAGGAATAGTTTACCTTGACAGCATATGTACGTTGGTTGCGTAGATCGATCGGAGTCTTGACGTATGAAACGTCTTCATTGATCGTGGCTGAAATGAGTTCTCGAATAGGTGCTATAACCTCTGGTTGGCATACATCCCGGATCCTTTGGAGCAATTCCGACTGTGCGCAGCTCAGAGCCTCGTACAAGGGGAGTATCGCTACGACGAATGATTTGATCATCAATACATGGTTGATTGCCATCTCAGACTCGTATATCGAGCCATGCTCTGGTACAATCACCAGCTAGCGATAAAAATCAGCGACTTTCTTGGCAGGAAGCTTGAGGCATTTCAACCTTTGTCAAGAGTTTCTCAACATCAGAAAACTCTTTGATGGCTACCTCTGCTAATTAGATTGAACGCGGCGAAAGTTTCGAGAGGAAAAAACTTGCCAGACCTGATTCCAAAGAACATGTCCTCCTTGATAGTCAGTTCGTCTAGGGCATCGTAGCGAGGCTTGAGCGTCTGTTGAATCTGGGTGGAGGGCTGAAGAACATTACTGCGAAGCATTCTGGCTCCCATTGGGGTTGAAGTCTGATTCAACAAGCCAAATAGGCAGTGTTTTGATTTTGCATCCTGTATGTTCTGGATCAGCTCAAGAGAATGGATGGTCGAAATGTCTATCATCATGGAGTTTTCCGAGGGCTGATAGCGGAGCCTGAGTGAATGAGCCATTATTTTCAGATGGCAAGCTGCCTCCAAGTACCTGACTGCCTATATATAATTGAGCTGAGAGACGGATACGGACTGGAACATGTACTTACTGCGGCGAACGCGCATGTTGCATAGAAATTCCCCTGCATGGCGATTTGAATTGACTCGAGATCTTCGCGAAAGACGAGGTTATGCATTGCGTCCATCCCAGCCGTTTCAGACCAATACTTGCGATCCAAAGACTCCACGATTGTTGCATGAAATTCTTCCTCGATCATGGACAAGAGAGTGGATTTGACATTTGGCGGGAAGGCGGTACTGGCCATTAGAATAGTGTCTGGGTCATACATGCTGATTTTGTGAATCGTCTTGACGTAAAACTGAGAATCGCAAATCTGACTGAGGATTGCTTCGTTGGTGGTGACATTGATAAAAGCAAGTCCAACTGAGGGTGAAACACCGCGAGCTTCACTCACGGCGCAAATGACTTGGTGACCATCTGAACCCCATATAGACGAAGTTGCGCGAGACTTGCGTCCTGAAGCAGTACTTGCACTTCCACGCTGAGAAAACGGGTACGAGGAGCTAACCACGGACCGTTTTCCAGAAGACCTGTATGAGCGCTGACTTAGTGATGACCTGGATCGAGCATGCGAGACTGATGGGTGAGGTGTGCCAGCCGAAGTACGACTTTGCATTGTTCCTGACAGTGTGTTCAGTCGTTCGCGGAAAAGAGCTGCGGATGCAACGCGACGACTCTGCGCGATGATGGGCGACTCTTGTGAAAGCGGTATATTTGGTGTTGATGGGTACGGTGAGCTACGGGCAGATGCCGCCTCTGCTGAGGGACAAGAAGAACCAGAGGGAAATCCAGACATTTTGGTGAGCCAAGGAGTACGAGAGCCTCAGAACCACAATACTCAACGGCCGTGTACCTAATTTGTATCAAGGTGGTATATATGACCTCACATGATCGTCAGAAGCGGTTGGGCTTGAAGTTGATCATTCACAAGGTTGTGGTCAGGAGGGTCTGATATTTTGGCGGTATTCGTATTTTTGATGTGGTGAAGAGGACGACCAAGCCATTAATCTAGCCGCCAGCGGGATGCTATTTTCGATTTCCATGTCGAGCAGAGCAGGAGCACCTCTGGGAGAGCACCTGCCAATATTCCATCGATTCCCAACCTTGAATGTCTCACAAGTCGCTTTCTTGCCTGGCCAAAAACAGTGGGTGCTAGTGTGTGTATAATAGAATTTAGGTATAGTCGTCAGGCGGGCCGCCACTAAAATGCCCCCACCAACTCCCCTAGCCAACGACATGCCCATCCCGATAAGATAAAAGATAAGATCGACCGCCCAAAAATTTTGGGATTTCGATGTTGCGCCAGAGACACCCCACCTTGCTACCAAGCCGACCCGCGATATTGTGACTTGGGATTGTCTGCCTCTCTTTCAAGACAATTACCGTACAGTACACCCCACTGACCAAGATTCTGGCTCCATATTGCGGTCATGGCCACAATTCTTCCTCCTCCGTCAAAGCGGCAGCGCCGTGAGGCTCTCGAGCGCACCCAGATCCAAGCCGACGTTACACCAGCACCCATCGAAGCCGGATCGTTCAAAGCTCGATTCGTGGACAGTGACTCGAACCAACTCGCCGAGGTGGTCGAGATCCCGCTCGCAGACGCCAGTGAAAAAAATGTTTCGCTTCTGCTGAACACGCTCCTCGGTCGCGATCGGGAAGACTTTACGCCCTACCGATTTCGCATACATGTACCCTCGTCGGACATTGTCATCGATACGTACCCTACACCACACGAGTTCCTCGCCGTCCTCCGTAGCCATGGCATTGCGAACCCCTTCGAAACCACGCTCACACTGTCGGCGGAACCGCAAGCCGTATTCAAGGTGCAAGCAGTAACCCGCATGGCCAACAGGATACCGGGTCATGGCGAAGCGATTTTGGCTGCACAGTTCTCTCCCAAGAGTAGCAGTAGGCTAGCAACTGGCTCTGGAGATAACACAGCGCGAATCTGGGATTGCGATACTGGTACTCCCAAATACACTTTGACCGGCCATTCGGGCTGGGTACTGGCTGTATCATGGAGTCCCGACGGTTCCAGGTTGGCTACCGGCAGCATGGATAAGACGGTGCGAATCTGGGATCCAGAGTCGGGCAAAGCAGTCGGAAGACCCTTGTCGGGACACTCGAAATGGGTGACAAATTTCGCGTGGGAACCATACCACCAATGGAGAGACGGAACCCCAAGACTGGCGAGTGCTTCCAAAGATGCTACTGTGAGAATATGGATCGTCAACACGGGTCAAACAGAGCATGTTTTGTCAGGTCACAAGAGCAATGTCTCATGTGTTCGCTGGGGCGGCAAGGGCTTGATCTATACATCTTCCCATGACAAGACTGTCAAGGTCTGGAATGCTGTTGATGGCACCTTGAAACATACGCATGCAGCTCACGCCCACTGGGTTAATCATCTTGCTCTCTCGACCGAGTTCGTCTTGAGAACATCGTACTATGATCATGTCAAGGATGTTCTTTCAACAGAAGAGGAGAAACGAGCCAAGGCAAAGGCTAGGTTCGAGAAAGCAGCTACAAAGCAAGGAAAGATTGTAGAACGTCTTATCTCTGCCAGTGATGAGTATGTCTTGCTCAATCTTCGTGATTTTAATGTATGGGGTACCTTGACTAACACTATGACAGCTTTACTATGTTTCTGTGGGACCCTGAAGAGGGAACAAAACCTGTTGCTAGGATGCACGGTCATCAGAAACAAGTCAACCATGTGACCTTTTCTCCAGATGGCGCTCTGATTGCAAGCTCATCGTTTGACAACCATACAAAGATATGGAGTGCCCGGTATGTCATAACAGATCCGAAAGAGAACTTTCATTCTAACTCATCCTTGCAGTGATGGAAAGTTTATCAGCACGCTTCGTGGACATGTTGCCCCAGTGTACCAGTGTGCCTTTTCTGCAGACTCTCGTCTATTAGTTACGGCATCAAAGGACACGACCCTTAAGGTGTGGTCAATGCAAACCGGAAAACTAGCAGTAGATCTCCCTGGCCATCAGGACGAGGTGTACGCTGTGGACTGGAGCCCTGATGGTAAACGTGTTGGCAGTGGTGGTAAGGACAAGGCTGTTCGTATCTGGTGTAATTAGTGCGCCAATAGATGTGAACCCATCTCCATGTCTGCAATTAGTAATCGGGCGAAAGAATGCGAGAGGCCACTTGATATCGTGCCAAGAATATAATTCTACTGCCTATTACCAAGGGTTAGTGGTTTGTTGTTTTTAGAACACCCCTAATTACATTGCCACTAGAAGGTGGAGTATATTCCGGAGTAATTTGGCCGTTGGCAGACATGATGTCTTTCTTTGGCCCCAAGAGCAGTTGCTGTTACCCAAAAAGGAACATGACACTAAAATTATGCTTAATCCTCCTTGCTGTTCAGCAGACGAAGTGTTTTACGGGTCTAAACGATTGGAAAATGGCATGACATAGCGAGAGCTGAGTATCATTCAAGGGTCCAGACTCTGGGGGTTAGGATCAACATTCCTTCAAGGCAGCAGAATAAATTCTTGTGGGCAACTCCTGGCCGAGAACCCGGGTTAAGTTTTCAAGATCAGCAACTCCCAATTTAGCAAGAATACCCAATGCAGAGTTGTCTTTGCAAGTATGATAGCCGCAGTGTGTTACACAAGCTTGCCGCTTGTCATACGCCCATAGGCTCCTTAGCGAGCAACATGAGTCCGCGATGCTTTGTGATACAGAAAACCCTTCATTATGGGCTGCTTTGAATATTTCACAACGTCCGACGGTGTCCGCAAGTTTGCAAAAGAGCCAGGCCCAGCATTAACCCGAAACTAGAGAGGGCACGGCTGGGAAATTTCCTGGTTTCGTCCTCTGGCCATCAGTCCTCAGATCAAGCCCACGAAGATACACCATCTAGAACTCTAACAGGCCCGAAAGTAATCACCGCAAGCAGATTGAGACCCGTGTATTTCTTGGCAGTATTCAAGTCTCATTTCACAGTGGGTTAGTTGCGGCTACTGAGCCAATGAGAACTTTCTGGGCGTAAAATATGTGGTGGCCGAGAGTTGGGTGACCACCCTTGCCCAAGACACCCAGACACTGCCCTGCAAACAAGACTTCAGCTGAATACTGGTCAAGTGGCGCGGAAAAGCGAACTCCACCACTTTATCTGCAAAGTAATTTCATTGTATTTACACGATTCATCAAGGAGTGTTCCTGCATACATTGCTGGATCATGGATGTATAGTATCTCTGATGGAATGATTCGAGAACATCCATCACAGTGGCGGGCCAGGGTGTAAAACGTTTCTTTCCCCGGGAGGAATATACGGAAAGGATCGAAGCAACAATAATGCATAGGCTATGGAGTCCTACATCCGATGAACTGGCTTTTTACGACCCCCTCACGGGTAGGTCATTTCTCCTTTTCCCGGAACGAGCACGGAAGATCAGAACAATGGACACTACAAGGACTTTTTGGCCCAGCCAGGGGGTCCCGCAACCTTACCTATGTACTTACCTAGACAGGGAATACGATTGCAAGATAATGCGACCTAGGTGCTTTTCCGGACAGCGGGCCATGTATGCAAGGGTTCTGCCGTTTGAACGATGCCATGATGCCGAATTTCGTCAGTAGCTTAATATCTGATAGGTACCAACATGTAATCACACCGGTTTAAGCCCGTGGTCGCCTTGGGTGAACATTCCATTATCATATAGTCAAGGATTGTGGCTCGAAGCCTGGATCCTTTCTCATTCTTGTAATAGGCTGTATCCACAATAACAGGGCTACTCAAAATTCAAGCTCCGCGGAATATATCCTTATTCATCCTTACCGGGCACAAGGCGGGTCGTTATCTCAGACTGCTCAAGGAGTCCAATTTGCTTGTGATTGGCTTCTACTTGTAGGTGCCATGCCCACGGCCTCGGGGTCCCAAAGCCCTGTCAAGCTGCTGGCTGTTTCTTGGCCCCCTGCACGTGGGGATGAGCACGCCAAGGTGGGTGAGCCCACCACGGTGGTAGAAGTGGCGCATGGCTGAAGCAAAGAAAGTTGTTCCTTTTCTAGGTCTAGACAGTGGACCTGGCCCTAAATGAGCCTCACAAATCCTGCCAGGCAGTCGAATTTCTATCGTTTGCACAGGTTGAATCTGCTTAAATTATCACCAACTGGAGATGTTTTTAGTAAGGCGATGACGGGAAAGCCGTTGGCACTCAAAAATAACCTTGTTATTGGTACGAGCGATCGTTGCTAATTTGGGTTCATATGGGTCCGTGTCGGACAAATCAAATGCAAAGAACCACGCATCTGATGGGGGTACAGAAGACGCGATTATATAAACGTCCAAGCCCTATACCTTGCCTCGAGTCCCCACTACTGCAAGCTATGTGATGGGACTAGATGTGCTGGGCAGAGTTTAGTTCGCTAGAGGTAGCATTCATGATGGAGTATGTGCAAGCAGCCACCACATTTTTCTTCTTGGGTCACCAAATTCATCGTCGTTGAATAAATAAAAAAAAAAAAAAACCGTTGAACGTTTCCGACCATCAAGATTGGATACGTAGCATCAAAAGGTTGATTACAAAGCCACACCATCTGGGCTGGGCTAGGCCATTTGAAGGACAGATGAAGGTTGAACCATTGAAATTGTGCAGCAATGTCTCCAAAAAATTGTGCCTTGCCTTCGCGTTTTGCATACCAAGCTGACCAGGTATGGGACGGCAGCGACCGCGACCCGACCGCCTTTGCGTACCAATCGGGGTGGATCTCTTGATTCTTCACTGCAATCCCAGGGCGTGAAGAGAAGTATACTGATGCGGGGAAAGTCGGTGAGGTGGAAGGGTTGAGGTGGTGAGACAAGCATGTTCGCTCCGGGGCTTCTTGCCTCTCTGAATAACCAGTTCTCATATGAGGGTAGTCAGGAGTAGAGAGAGTGAACCAATCGAGTCCTTGGCCGTCATGTTTGTCAGCATCAACCCATCTAATGCACTCATCACATTACATAGCTCCCAAGTCCTACCTTGCGCTCTGTCGACACTTGTTCGGAACCCCTCTCCTCCTCCTCAAAGGCCCAGGCATGAGCTCACTTTCTCGCTCCCCCTGTACCACCACCATGTCAATGTCCCTTGCCAGCATTTTTGAACTCGCTAACCGCACTCAGCCCTACCATTGGGCACTATCGACACAAAGTTCCAATCCTTCGTTCGCCATTGGCCCCCGACAACCCCTCCGCCACGGTTTGTGTAACCATCAAATCTGCAAGAGCCGCGGAGTATTACCAAAAGTCCTAGGCGACCGCGTCTATGATTCCATTCCCCATCGCTCTGTGCAACCATGTGGAACTCTGTGTAACTCTCTTGTGTAACTCTTCCTTCCATACCCTTGTGCAACGATGAGCAGGTTTGACAGGCCAGTGGCGCGGCAAATCTCAAGAAGACCCAAGCATGGTAACCATGAACTTTTGCGCCTGTCTATCGACTCCTTTTTTTTTTTTCCTCGTCAATTAATGCAGCTGCCTAGTCAGCCTGGGAATTCTTAAGGGAGCCTTGCGATCTACTACTATTCCAAAAAGTTTTTTTCTCCCCCAACTGGACTTGTAGAAGCACTGCTTATTATACTGTGCTACCTAAAAGGTCTTTACTACAACAATCATATCATATCCTATTAGCATCCTTGAACAGCTCCTTTCTTTTCCCATTTCAGTCGTCAGCCTACTTTCTCGCCACTTGCCTGCTTTCACAATTACTCATCATGCCTCGCAAGCAGTTGGAGCGCAAGAGGAGAGTGCATACTCGATCTCGCAATGGCTGTGTGACGTGCAAAGCCAAGCATTTGCGCTGCGACGAACAGAAGCCTCTCTGGTAGGTTCTCTTACACCCTGGAGCCGTCTCCAAGACCCCTCTTTATGGCGTACACCAATACACTCGGAAGTCCCGGCTCCCCTCATCCAGATCAAAGCTTTGGATGTAGCCGACAAAATGACTCTCGATGGCTTCATAAACTCTGGACACTGGTTGAAAAATGGGCATCTCTGTTGACTCGTGCATAGTGGACGTTGTCTTGCGAGTGGCGGCAACTGTGGATATGCCGACCGAACTGCACAAAACTCACAATCGCCACAACCCAGCGAAGGCCCCATCACGCCAAAGCTTGAAAATCTCGAGCTTTGGGATGAGTGTCTAAGCTTCACAAGCGTATCGCAACAACCTTTGCTTCCTTATCCGCAAGGAGCATCTCACGATCATAGTCTATTGTTCAACATATGTAAGATGATGATGGTGCCCTACGAACGCAGAGCTTGAGTGCTCATCAAAAATTCCTAGTCTCTCGGTATCGGAGCGTTGTTGATAGAGAAGTTGACCCAAACTCGCATGTGTTCTTGTCAGTATTTGCAAGCCCTTGAAGCGGATAACTATATCAAGACTGACACCTTTCAAGGGTAGAGAGATCCTTGTCGAGCCCGGCGTTGCTTCATGGAGCTCTCCTCCTGTCAGCATTGCGATGGACGTGGTATTCTGGAGCCAGTGAAGACATTCAAAAGTCGGTCGCGCATCACAAGGCCGAAGCAATCAATTTCGTAAATGACCGGCTGCGGAACCCAGCATTGGTTGATAACGATACTACGACCGCTGGCATTGCGGCTCTTGCCATGGCAGAGGTAGGCGACAGTATGCTCAAAAGCTATTGCATGATCACATGCTGACAAGAAATTTGTAGAGCGGTTTTGGTCGTCCGGATAATGCCCATGCTCATCTTCACGGGTTGTCTCAAGTTTTGGCATTGCGAACGACCACATCTCAGGGCAATGGAGCTTTACTCTACAATATGATTGTCTGGTGAGTGGTATACACTTGTCTAAGGATTTCGATGATGCTAACTTGGGAAATTTGTGCAGCACGACGCAAGGTCTATCACAAATGTCCATGCAAGACGTGTGCCTCATGCAACAATCTATTGCCGAGTGCTCGTCTACTCTCACGCTTTTCATTGACCCGGAGCTCCAAAGATTGGCCGAAGATCCGTCATCCTGGAATACGACGCTTGGCGACATGATCTCCACCCCAGTGTATCACGACATAATAGACGGCATCGCTCCACGATCGGAAGCAGAAAGCCGCGCCCGGTTTCTGCAGTGCTGCTTGCGGGTCGTCACCATGCTAGGGCCCAACAACCTCGACTTCTTCACCCTCAATTGGTTCATTGAGGCGCTAATCGACGAGCTCTCCATGAGCGAGACTGCCATGCTGCGGGGCAACTTTCCGCGCCAAGCATGGCTCTGGGCTGCCCTGATGGCCAGGGTCGCCGCCACGAGTGCACGACACCAGAGCCTATCAGAGGCGCAGCAGGCGGACGAGTGGAAGAATATTACGAACCGCAACATTAGAATTGCTTCGCAGGCTGCCAACCTCAGGACATGGGCCGAGGCCGAGACTCTGCTGCGCACTTGGGTCTGGCAGGCGAACCTCTTTGATGCTGGACCATTGAAGGAAATATGGGAAGCAGCCGTGATCAGCAGCAGCAGCAGCAGCAGCAGCAGCAGCACTACACATTTCGACGATGGCACTGTCTCGCCCAGTTTTTTAGATAAGCGCCTTTTCTTTGCCGACAACGAAAAAAAGCCCATAATCATGGACGACGAGGCATTTGATCTGTGTGTCCCAACTGTCTGGACCTGAGGACAGCATGTCGGATTATTCCAACTCGGCATGAATATCTATGCCTATCAACAACCGGGCTATAGGTTTTCCATCTACAGATTAAGGAAGTCCACATCTTCTGTAGTGGCTATTCGGCTCAACGGCTTCACCATACGATAACTATTTACGATCCTGACAGACGTTGGAACCGGCATGCTCGCCGATGAGATGGTCCAGTAACATTCATCTCAAAAGTGTACCATAAACCCATGGCATACTGCACCGGGTCTTCCACGCGTGAGAGGCGATGCGATGGTCAACTCCCAAGCGCATAGTTGCTCTGACCATCCGACTCGCGTTGTGCAGATCAGACAGCAGTACGGGCATTGGATCTGGCTCAGTGTATGGATCATTGAGTACAAGAACTCCATTTGAGACAGCTGTTACAAATTGTACGCCAAGAATCATAACTCATGATCTACAAAGGAATGCGGCGAGCTGAATATGGCCTCATCGATTGGCGCACGCCTGGGAAAATGACTCGCTCAAAGCGACACGAGACATGCTCTGATGTTGAAACGTGGCCCATGTAAGATAGGCATGTAAATATAAATTATACAATGCATAGAAGATACCCAAACAAAGACGATCTCTAAATCACACATGTTCGGGAAACCATGATCACGTCACGTTGACCTTTTCATTGCCATTTCAGGCAGGGATCTGGGCATTATTGCTGATAATACGGCCAAATGACTGATGTAAATTCGCATATTATCTCCATGTAAGTTGGCATGAGTAAGCGAAACCGATGTCTACAGCCATCATCGTCTCAACTCGGTTAGCTGTCTCACGATCGGGCGCTTAACTCGGGCGCCTTTCGTGTGAGTAGTCGAATTAGAGCCAGACGCCATTGCCCACTATTCCCTTGGGACAGAGAGGTGTTTTCCCACGCTATAAGCGGGCCGAGGTTCAAAAATAGCAATGGAAATTTCGTCTAATCCTCAATGTCAGTTGGTCGCAAGCAGATATCGTCTAGACTTGGGCCCACGCGCGTAGCCCGAAACCAATCAGCCTCCCCTTTGGGCCTGTGATGGGCCTGGGTACTCGGGTAAGCACTAGCTGAACGCCAGCTGAGCTCAAGGATGAGACGTGATATTTTGATTTTTTTCTTCTGACGCGAGAGAATTTGACTTATCAAGACTGAGACCCTATTTGCGCTCAGCATCACAAACTCGTTGCGCCGCATCACCACAGTCTGACAGGCAGATACGTCGAAAAGGACAAAAAGAAAAGAGAGATAGAGGGCGAAAATGGTCGCAAATTGGCAATTATGGCTGTCCTCGCGGCCGACCAGGCGAACCAACACGGCGGTCCAGCCTTCCCTGCTGACGGCGGGCGACAACATGCTATACGAATTCGCGATGGAGAATGACGGCCGGCGAACCGTAAAGGAGACGCACTATATCCACAAGAAGACGGTGAGAGACGGCTTATCCGGCCCGCCTTTGTACGTAGCATTGCGACACAGATTCATTGGGTGATGTTCTAACTGGTTCTAGGCACATTCATTTATCGCAAAAGGAAACATTCCAGGTCGAGCAAGGAGTCTTGGGCGTAGTGCAGAATGGCAAGGAAATCGCAATCTCAAAGGATGATGGACCTGTGTCTATCGAGCCAGGCGTAAGGTGAGTATACAACATTTGAGGTCCCAAATACAGCAAGGTATACTAAGCATTGTCTTTCCATTATTAGGCACCGGTTCTGGGCGCACGCATCTGGCAAGGAAGACCTCATCTTCAAGGTCTGGGTCGAGCCACAAGATGCCGACTTTGGTTTCGACGAAGACTTTATGCGCAACTTTAGCAGCTACCTCAAAGATTGCGAGAGTGAGGGCATGTCGCCGTCGATATTCCAGATGCTCTTATTCTTGTACCACAGTGACATGGTGCTGACACCTCCATTTTGGCTGCCCATCTGGTTTCTGGTTGGACTTCACCACGTCTTTGCCTACTGGGTTGGAGCAGGTCTACTTGGGTACTTTTACTTACCATATATTGTGGATTTGGATGACTGACGAGAAACCAGATATAAGCCAAGCTATCCTGAATATAGTGCACATGGTAAGAAGACCACGTAAGGGACGTTTTCAGTGTCTCGCTGGCATGACGATCAAAGCACTATGTGGTAAGCGAACTGTATTCAATTGGCCCTTAGTTTTCTTGAAGATCCAAAGCGTTTTATAGACAAGACGACAGTAGGTCAGGGCTGTCTGTATCCAATATAACGTTTCCAAGACTCCAGTATCGCAAATAAATCAATGTTCAATATTCAATGATTTGAGAGTGGCGAGTGCCTCTGTAGATGAAGTGATTGGGGTCTTCAACATGGATAGAATCCCACCTTGGTACTAGAGCCTGTTCAATCCGAACCGACTAGAGAGCCAACTCCGGTCGAAAAGTTGCCACAACCTTCAAAGGGAGCTGCAATCGCCTGCAGCACCAGAGAAGTGCACCCGAGATCAGTGCGCTGGCGGTCGGCAATGGACCAAAACGTGGGGCAGTACTGAGACACACTGACGGCAGCATTGTCACTGGCCGTGCAGGCGAGGATGTTGACGGGTTTGAGGCTACACACCAGGGCCTTGCGGTTCTGGAGGAGCATGCTGGTCTTGGTATCAAAAACCAAAAAGGCCGACGTGGACTTGGGCGCAATGGCTGCGGTGCGCCCATTGACATTGTTGCCCGTCGTGAAGACCCTGAGCTCGCTCGTCTTGGGGTTGATGCCAAACTTTGAGGCCAAGAGCCCGTTGGTGGTAAAGGTGGACATATAGTTCTTGTTGCCGCTTGGTTGGGCAATCGAGGCATAGCCGAGATCTCGACCTGCAGATATACCTTTGAGATAAAAGCATTCTGATACGGCAGCTCTTACCACAAGCACGGATGTCAGAGCAAGAATAATCTGGCACAGGGAAAACATTTTGAAGAAGCGTTGATTGCAGAAGAGACCCTGAACTGTGGCATAACTGGTTGAACAAAGCTCTTTTCTAGAGTTGATATATACACATGGCTGACTGAGACTTTGCTGTTATTCTAGAACACGTCAGACAGGAATCAAAAATTTTATACATTGAGACACCCGGTTTGATGACATGGAGTCACGGCCGAAATGAACCGCCATAGAACAATGTCGCAAACCTTGTTACCGTTGGCTCTCTCCTTCGGTGCTGCGACCTCGAAAAAACCATTCGTTCAAGATAATCCAAGAGATAATAAAACATTCAAGACCAAGGAAAGAAAAACGGGAGAGACTTGCAGAGTCTCTGGCTCTCGATTGTTGGCTTACACATTGCCATACTTAACGTTTTCCGCCAGCTACAAGTCCGCTCTTCGGCGATGGAGCATGCCTATCTAGCAGACCCAAAGAGATCTACACCGCTGATGGTCAGACGGTATGCTCAAATAATAAACCAAGAGAACAAAATCCTTTGGACGCCGAGTGAGAATGTCTGAAACTGACTGCAGGACAATTAATTGCCAAGGCTGCGATCATGAATTATTGCAGTCTCTGAGCATGGCAACATACATCTTTGGAAACAAGTAGATTGTTGAAAATGTTTCCAACGTCGCTTGTTTTTTTGTCGATGAGACATGGGTAAGCTACAATAGTAATGAAGTTTCTTTCGTAGTGTGTGGAGAGGTTTGTTGGCTAACTAGTAGACTGCAATGCTCTCACGAACTGCAACTTGTGATATAGAAGCAGGAGTTTTATTACTTTGTTTGGCTAGGGTCACACGCATCGGCGTTCTCTCATATAGTTAGGAAATTAAGTCATCATAGGTGTTGTTATGTAGCATTAATTAATGAAACTGAAAGAGAAAATGATAATGACCGAGCGAAAGATTTGGTTACGGTTGTTATTCTCACGAATGTCGTGGACCAACACTGAGAAAAAGTACAAAAAAGAAAAAGGTTTAGTTTGAAGCACCCCAACGCCGGCACCAGACTTATATCCCAGGCACGAGCGAGTTTCTGCAGATTTACTTGTGCTATTAATATGTCCGTGGAATTGTCTATATACAATTTAATTATTGCCAAAGGATAAATTAGCAGAATAGAGCGGGCAAGTTTTCGGGGTTTCATGGAGTCATCTTCCGTGCCCCTGAATCGGGTATGGTCCCGTGTCTCTGATTAGTTGGCCAGACTTTTGCCATGCCACGCTCTCCTGACATGGGGTTATTCGGCTACACGCTCATTCTTGTTGGAGATTAAGCGAACGGAAAACCAGAAAGAGGACAGATGAGGACCACGTTATAGCACATGGTGAAAGCGAACAAAGAGTTCAGCGACCGCAATGTGCCAGAATGAAGTGAACCATTTCCAGTTGCTGTACATTGGTGATTAAAAGCAATGGCACAGGCACGAGCGTTGCTGGGTACACTCAAGCAGCGCATCAGCGCCTTTATAGCACTGTCAATACTGCTCCTTCTGATGCTGCGGTACCAAGAGAAACCACCCGCGACATTGTCGAGCATCGTGACGACGGGGCCGGCACAGCAACAGCAACTCTCGCCCACCATTGACCTCTCATCACCAGCGTCGCCCTTTATCGCCTTTCCGCTGGCCCGCGTCTGCGCCGAGGCCAGCCCCGCGGTGCCGGGCCTCGTCTTCCTGTGCGACAACAATAGCGGCGGGCCGGGCAATATCCGCAACTACATACTCACGTGCGTGCGCTACGCCGTCGAGGCCGGGGCCACGGCCCTGGTGATGCCGCGCATCCGCGCCCGCTCCGCCGTCGACTTGTCCAATATCCACCTGGGCCACCGCGAGTTTGGGTACCTGTTTGACGAGGCGCACTTTCGCGCCGCCCTTGCCGCCGCCTGCCCGTGTCTGGCGCTGTGGGACCGCCTCGAGGACGTGCCGCACGTGCTGGCCAAGGTTGAGCGCGAGGGCTTGTACGATGTCGAGAAAATGGTTGAGCGCGTGACGCCCCGGCAGCAGTTTGGGCGTCGCGCGGGCTGCGACCAGCGCGACCTCAATCGCCACACGGATCGGTTCGGCCAGCGGTTCCGGGATTGGCTCGAGGCGTCGGCCGCGGAGAGGGGCCTGGCACCCTTGACGCACGAGAGTCCGCGACTGATTCGTTTGAACTGGGGCGTACTGTGGGATTGGGAGGTGCTACGAGACGGGCCCGAGTTTGTTGGCACCTTTGGCAGCTTACTGCGCTTCCGTGCAGATCTAATAGAACTGGCGGGCGCCGTAGTGGCAGCACTGAGACGGGAGGCACTTGCTGTATCCGCGCTCCAGGGTGGTCGCAATGATAGTTTTCTCGGCGTTCACCTCCGAACGGAAGAGGACGCTCTAAAGGAGTGGCCAAGTTTTGACATGCAGGCTGAAGGGTATATGAGCGAGGCCATTAGGCAAGGCTATCGGGGAGGATTGGCGTACCTGGCCTCTGGCAGCGAAACGGAATCGCACAAGTTCAAAGACCGAGCTCGAAGTGCAGCACAGATTGATGTTCGCACAAAGTTCCACCTGCTCCAAGGACTGGATCTCATGAAACTCAAAGAGCTCACTTGGGACCAACAGGCAGTCATTGATTTCATCGTGCTCCTTGCGGCTGACTATTTTGTCGGGGTCAGTCCGAGCAGCTTCAGCATTAATGTCGCCTTGAAACGTCATTTGCGTACTGGAGGCCTATATGCGAGGCCATGGAAGGTTGGTGGCTCTGGCGATGGACTCAGTCATTTGGTGGGTGCATACACAAGATACTGGGACGATTGGTTGTTCATGTATGACGGCATGTGGCCATAGACAGTCCCGAAATTAGAGCTATCACCACTTTCAAGTTGATAGATTGCATTCATGCTTGCGATGAAAAGAACAAAACCATGTGGTATTATCATGTGCCAGTAATTATGCTATGTTGTGGGGTATCATCAATCTGCCTCACTGAGAGGAAATAGGTACAATGCGTCATCGTTTATCGTTACACGTTGTTGTCTCCGTTGTTCCTCCAAATATGGGTATCGCCCAGACTGAATGAGCTTGAACCACTTCGGTTGCCAGGTCCGTTTTCATTTTGGGGTGTGGGTGTTCCGTTCGTATTGCCGTTTTCAGGGGTATCACTATAGGGGACATACATTGATTCGCCAGGCGTCAACTGTGGTGGAGGCTCGTGATAGATCCACGGTGTTTCCAAGGGTCGCACAAGATTCGGATTCACAAATCTCATTCCCTTCTCCCTGTCCTCGTCGACTGTGCTCAGGCGTCGTGCCATGCGCATCACGCTGGGTTGTCTCAGAACGCCTGGATCAGTGTCTCGGTTGATGCTGCGTAGAGCAATAAAAATGGTGAGCGGCGAGTAGCGCAGGCTAAAGTAGTATGAATACCATACGGTATACATGGTGAGCGGAATGACAAGAGCTGCCCCGTAAAAAGCACCTCGAAGAGACAGAATACCCGCCATGACCACCTGGAAAATGCACAAGCCCAGGATGATGCGATAGCAAATTATGCGCCACGCGCCACCAGTAGCGTGCTGTGGTTGATCCATCGAATATACCAGCTGGTACTTGTGTACGAAAAAGCCAAATGTAAAATAACACAGGCCCAAGAACAGAACCAGGTGGCAGCCCGGAAGTACACTGTAGACGAGACACAGAATAAAGACCAGCAGGGCAGTCGGCAAATAGAAGCCGTAGCTAAAGAGCGTCGGTTGAACAATCTCGGCATGGTCGCGAGGTGTCTTGGCACCCCATCTGTAAATGGGATACATGCAAACGCTGCCGAATTGCAGGAGCTTAAAGGGCAGCAGGCCAATACCTTGTAGCATGATGAAACAGAGGTAGAAATTACTCAAGGTCTGAATGGAGCCCGCCAGAGTGACAGCGATATACTGAGTATCGCGTAGGGAGTTGCGCAGGACCGGCCAAAAACGCGATGTCGTGCCAAACACGGTAAAGACCAGGAACACGTTAAAGAAGGTGAAGAAGAAGTTCTTGGATACGACTGACAGCTCAATGTCACCCTGAGATATAACTCCTTGGTAATTCGCGAGGAAATCGTACAGATATGGCACCAAGACATTGAGCAAGGACACCACTCCTACAGGCAGTGCTGTCTGCACAAGTGCTTTGGTAATTTCGTGTCTCAGAAGAGCTTCGGCCAGTGCCGGCGACGCTTTTTCAATGGTGCAAATGCTGAGAAGACCAGCCAGTGTCGCGACTGGCACAATCCACACGATTGTGAGAACGGCAATAAAAACTGTAATCACCCAGGATTGTAGACGGCGCCGCCATATGGGAGTGTAGGTATTCTTCCAGACCACATCCGTAGGCGCAGGCGCGGGTTTTGACAGCAACTGTCCGGGCCGAGGGTCCACGAGTGCTTGAATCGCCATTTGACAAGCTGCAATCGAGTCCATGGTGACGAACGCAGTGGCCGTGGGCTTGTATTCCTTCTTGCGAGCCTCCATCACCTTCTCATCTATAACCCGGAGCTTTTCATCGTAATAGTCGATAGCGTCGGCTAGACGAGTTCTAAAGTTGAGGAATCCGAATCTGACGCGGGTTTTCGGTCGCGGCCTGTCCTCTATGTTGTGAATACTGTCGCCTGTGAGGAGCTGGCTGCTTTCGTGAGAGCCTTGCTCATTGTTGTGCGTGCCTAGGCTATTACCCTGGTTCCGAGGGCGTGCAACACCCAGGCGAGGCTGCTTGTGCATGTAAACACTCCAAGCTTCCTCCAACTTTCGGAGCACTGCATCTCTTTCGGTCATCAAGCCGTCAATTTCGGCCCATTGTCGGCAGAGCGTCACGGAGCTGACATTTCCGATTTCCAAATTCTCGACAAATTCCTTGATCTTGGCCTCGGACCTCAGGTCTTGAGGAATACCCGTCAGCCTGAATGTCCGGTCCGTCACGGTGGACTGAGTGCCAAGATAGTCCTGTCGAATTCTAATCACATTGAAAGTCTCCTTGTTCATGTAGTACAGCGTGAGGAGCGAGAAGAACCAGGTAAAGGCAAGATACGACCAAAGATGAGGTTTGTTCCAATATATCCAACCATCTGGAGGATACTCTACGTCGTCGTCGTCGGTTTCGAACATCGAGAAGGAAGAAGAAGGTGCGTACGTTTGTCGGTAGTAGTCAAAGTCGGGATCAAAAGTAGTCGTCTTGTTCTTGTGAGGGCTGCCCAGGTCAATGTCGCCCTCAAAGGCATGATTGATGGGCCAAAGCACAGCGGCGGCAAAGAACAGCATAACGGCAAAAAGCCGCATCGACATTTTGTAAAAGTTCAAGAACACGTAGGCATCCAGCCCGGCCGAAGCCAGTACCTGCGCATCTGTGACTCTGTATAAAGCCGGCATCCATCCTAGAAAACTGTTTGGCAACTCGGGAAGATTAATGTTGCGATCGTTGTGTCGCTTCCGGGCGGCATATAGGGTCGGCCATCGTGGTCGTAGAAACTGTGCGACAATGGCGAATTAGCATGGCGCCGAGAGAGGTGCATTTGAGACAGACGCGGCCGTGCCGGAAGGGTAGAAAGCACTTACGCAAAAGACGATAAAGGCACTCAAGCCGAGGGCCAAGGAGATGGTGAGCTGGACGTAGATATCCTTTTCTCCCGGGCGCACAAATTTGTTGCCGTCGCACTTGTCGCCGTGCTTTACCCACGCATCCATGGCGATGTTTGGGGACGCTGGTGGCCGAGTAGCATGCAGCGACACCTCGATAGTAACGTGAGTCGGGAAATGTAGATCAGCTGCGGTAGCTGTTGTTCAGGTTGGAGGGAGTAAACAGGGCGGTGATGTAATGCCGTGTAGCAGCATACCGACTCTTGGCAACCTTAAATACGCCACACTGCTTAAGCCGATAAAGCTGCATAAAGCGGGTCTCCTTACTTGCATACCATCTGTCGCCTCGAAATTAATGGTGAAGCGCCTCACCGACAATGTTTCTGTATCCACAAAGATCCTGGAATAGATTTTTTTTTTTACAAGGGCAAAAAGTCATATGCATTTCCATGTTATACTTGCTATTTTGTGTATACCAAGTATGTTGCCCTGGACTACTGTTCTCTCCACTGCGTGGTTTTTTTACCCTCACAAATGTGTAAGCTTTTCATTGGTCATGGGACAACGGAACTTTCCCGGCAAAATGTTCAATGAAGTCAAGAAAACGAATAAGCGAGTATCTCAAATATGAATCATCAAACGAGAATCATTAGTATGTGGAGTTGTACGCTTTTGAGTATTGTCGACAAGAAGTAATTCAATTTGGGAAAGAACTCTCAACGACCATCTGCTTTCACTTGAGTCTCGATGACCTTTGCGATAGTACGCCAAAAATGGAAGAAGAAAAAAGAAAAGAAAAATAGTCAAGCAAAATACATGACAATCACTAGAGTCTAAAGAACAAGGCAAAATATCATAATTTCATTCATCAGGTTAAGATCAAAATCGCTGGAAGTCAAGCTCGCTACGTAAAAGATATGAAAACAAAACTGAAAAAGTCGTAAATGCCGTGGTCACAAAAAAAAAGACACATGATCCAAAACCGAAAGAAATCAGATCGCTTTCAAAGCAAACCGCCACCAACGCTGGGAAATAGACCAATCTCATGAAGATGAAAAGATTGGGACTTTGAACGAGGACCGGGTCTGTAAGAAAACGAATGTGAGCACATGCTTCATCACGAACATGATGAAGATGCAGAAACGAAGCAACCACGAGAAAAAGAAAAGAACAAATTATGGAGGCGTTCCCGTGTGGTGGTCTGTTGAATCAAGGCCACTTGGACATGTCGCACTCTTTCTCATTCCCAGGCATCACGTTCACAATGGCAGCATATGGAGAAACCTACCTGGTAGAAATTGGAATCGGTACATCAGTACGACCTTCCATTGGTACTATAGGCACTGGAGGTGCTGGCCTCGCTGGGTCTTCGCCTCTGCCCTGCGCCGGGAATGGATATAGGTGGCCGAGTGCCTTCCTCCATGTGGTGTTTCCTGCGCTGCTCGTCGGCGTACTGGTGTTGTTGTTGGTGTCGTTGTTGTCCTCCATGTTGTTGTTCGTGATCGTCGCGCAGTTCGGGAAAGGGAAACTCGACGAGACGACCGCCAACGATCCAGCTGTGTCGGACAGAGTGTCCCTCACCCTTGCAAATGTAGACGCCGGGACTAATGGTGCGTCTGGTCGGGTAGGCGGTGATGGAGGAAGGGGTCGGGGGCGAGAGGTGGCCGGTGCGAGGTGAAGCATCAGACGGACTCATTGCGCAGAGGAAACGTGAGTTCCAGCTGGGACTCGTGGGTTCTTGAACACTGATCTTGCTATCAGAGTAGGTGGAAGTACCATGGGAGGAGCCGGGGATGGCCAAGGGGACGAGGCGGAATATTTCTGTTATGGGTCTGCTTTGCTTGGGAATTCCATGGGCAGTGGATGATGCGAAACCATGTGCGAGAGGCATCGCTGTATATAGTCGACGAAATCGGAAATACCCAACTCTACACGGTCGTACACAAAGAGTTTCTCTTGAGTAATAGTTTGACTTTGGAGAAGCACTTGAGCACTGCCGAGTTTGAGTTTTAAAAACACACGACTCGGTATGCCGCCCGAGCGCACGGGGTTGTCGATCTACCTTTAAACCAAAGGAATCCTACAGTATTTTTTGCAGGTCACCTTATCTTTTGGACTTACAGCCTGACTATTCAGATAGGCAAAACAAGAAATTCCCTAGAGCGCAGTAAGCGAAGGAGGAAGTCATGAATCCCGCACGAGTTTCCACATTGGGCGGCCGCGACGTCGCACATTTGCAGTCACAAAGCCAGGCTCGAGTGATAACTGCTGGGCAATATACGGGTCAGGCCTACAAGAGCACGATACATCTCCCCATCCATCCTGTCTAATCCAAAGGATCCGCTCGCCATTGATGGAGACACTGCATGTCATGCCGCACCTAGCACAGCAGCAGAGATCCCTGGGTCTGCCAGCCTCTCCCCTCCCTTCTATTGCGCACATTGCCGGCGGCTACTCGTGCCTCGGATCATGCTGACCCAAAATCAATGCTGGGGGAGGGAGGAGCGGAGTGATGCAGCAGTCAGTGTTGCCATCTGGGGAGGAGGAGAAAAGAAAAAACAAAAACAAAAGGGCAGGCAGGTTAGATTGGTTTAGCGAGGGACGTTGGAGGGACAGCATAATGGCGCGCGAGGGAGGCCTCACGCTATGTATAGATCCGGAAAGGAAGATCGACGTTGTCAAGCTCCAACCAAGCTTGCAGCAGGTCAGTGGGTCGATCGAGGGAAGAAAAAGAGACTATCCGGGTCAATCCCCAGGGGGCTAGAGATTGAGCCGTGACCAACGACAGGCTTCGCTCAGCTTGAGGATTGCCTAAAACGGCAATCCGGGACTTGGCTCGAGGGACGACGGAAGAGTATGAAGTCTGAACCAGCTCGCCCCTAGATCAATTCGAAACAACTGTAGAAGAACGCGAGTCAATAGCCAGGAATCACATCACCATGATAACAGATACAATATCCATTTTCTCCCGAAAGGAGCCTTCTAGTGAGGCTGTTGGCGCAGGTACGTAGCTTTTGCGATCGTCAATTGGTGTCCAAATTCTTACTCAGTACACTACTACGGAGCTCAGGTGGAGACGACACCAAAAGCTTGCATTGCTTGCATGAGCGATTTCCCCGGATTTGATTCCCACCGCCTGTTACTGGTCTACCCGAGTCCCATCCAAATCAGGTATATCTTGGGCGCACTCCAGATGTATCTCAACGTACTTTGCAATCGGGCTGATAATCCGCAATTTCCTGAGGCATTTTCCCACGCGAGGAGCCAGGGAATCGAGGAGAGCCATGATCTCCATCTTGAACAGAAAAAAAGGGTCGACGCATCACACGCCATGCAGAAGGACGATAAAATTAGGTTCGAGGGGTAGGAGGCCTGCAAACAAGATTGCGCGAGCTTCATTGCAGGGTCTTGGCTCTGCGTTTGTAGACTGTCATGGGAATCCCGTCGGAAAACTCTCCTTCTGGGCAGCATCACAAATGCGATGCAATGGAGGTAAGCACACGACTCTCTGGGCGCGTAAAGGGAGGCGGCATGACCAGGGGATACGCAACTCCATCTTGCTCAGCGTGGCAAAGCCGTGACCATGGCAAAGTGCATGCGACCTGCAACTCTGTGACTTTTTCGATACATGACCCTTGAACAAAATGTCAGCATCATTTGAACACTCTCATCAGCACCGGTCGGGCAGACAACTCCTGGCTCCCATGCTAGCGTCCAGAAAAGTAGACTGAAACAGAAGATATCTGGTATCAAGTTGGGACAGATTTGTTCTCTGCCAAACTTCTGTGCGTATTGAAGGCTTTTCATCCCCATTTTCGCCCATCCGTATTAGATACACGTCCAGCTCTCCGCCGCATTAACATCTCCCGTGCCGGTATAGTGCAGTTCTCCTGGGTATGAACATAGGTTACGCGTGAGACCATTGCCGCTGGCGGATAACGTTTCGGGCACCGTCCCATTCTCAACCCATCCGACAAGCACATCAAAAGCATCGACAGGCTCCGCGCCATAACCTCCCCCACAGTGTCCGACGCCGGGTGCCAGGAACAGTCGGTAGAAATCGTGCACGTCGACGCCCGAGCCCATAAAGTCCTGGACCCGCCTCCAATAGTCGGCCGTGCCGTTGGCGTAGACGTTGGAGTCGGCCCAGCCGTGCCACGAGAGCAGCTTGCCTCCGGCTTGCTGGAAGGCGCGCAAGTCGTGGTTGTTGGCGCCGACCAGGTCATTCTGCTCTTGGTATGCCAGGTTAAAGATGCCCGGGAACGTGCTATAGTTGATGGTGCTCAGATCAAAGTTGGTGTCGTTGAGTACCCACGCCCTGATGAAACCTGAGGCGTCTTGTTCTGGTGTTGACCCCGTCTGTCCGTTATCTGAATGCGAGGTATCAGTATTCACAAGCTTATTCAACGCAGGTTTCCGTATCCATATCAGACACGGTTCGATATCCCATCATATACTTACAAGAAGCTCCCTTGGCGATACCCGAATAAAGCCAGTTGCCATTCGTGTCGACGGGACCATACGCAATCTTGTTCCAGATCTTGGCATGCTCCTCCGTAATGACCGTGGCGCCGCCGTCATCGCAGGCGACAGCTGGGTAGCCGACCCAAACGGTAGCATTGGCCTGACACGCCGGCGGGTCCGAAAGGATGCCGTCCAAGCCCCCGTCGTCAATGTCGCAGAGCTCAATCGCCCCCTCGGTCAACGTGTCGAACACGCACGTCGGCACAAACTGTCCCTCGGCATTCTGTACCACCCACGGCCATAGTTGCGACACTTGAAAGTGCGAGTAGTCCAGCGGAGGCGATCCAGCAAAGATGCCGTTGTAGTCGGCCGGGTACCGCTGCGCCTCAATGTAGCCCTGCCCGCCGGCCGTGGAGCATCCGTTCCAGTAGGAATAGGCAACGGGTACACCGTAGAATTGTTCGGCCACGGCCTTGCCAATGACAGTCATGTCGTGAATAGAGAGGTAAGCAAAGTTCTTCTTGAGTTGCGGGTTAAAGGCAAAGTTGGTCGAGTTTGAGTCGTGCGGAAGCCCTCCGTCAGTGGTTCCGACCGCCCATCCTGATTGCGCAGGACCGCTGAGTTGATCTGTCGATCCGCCAGTCGAAAAGCCGCTGCCACCAGTGCCTTGATATCGTCCGTTCCAGTTGCTAATTGGCAGAAAAGTGATTACCGAAACATTGTCGCTCGAGCCTGTATGAGTGAGGTATGTGTATACCTCGCAGATGCCGTTGTTCTGTTCAGTAGTAATGGACGTAATTACAGCACCATCAACGGATGGAGCAACGAGCGATGCGCAGTCAGTCCCTTGACGTCTCTCGTGGGGTTGTGGTATCAAACCGGCCAACGCCAGTTCCAAAAAGAGAGCAACAGCAAGCCACATTGTCTAGCTGTTGTGGTGTTCTAGAAAAGTTCTAGAAGACGAATCTCAAAGAGCGCCCAACGGCCCTGGTCAGAAGTATAAGTCGTCCGATGAAAGATATTGGTTTCATCTAGGCAGGCAAAACGTTTTCACATTTTCAAGGACTGATTCCGAATTGATCTAGAATTTGATCGGCAGGAAATGAGTATCCGCTTGCTGGGCATCACGTCATTGAGATTTGCGAGTGTACATCTGAGCACATCAGATTTTTCAAAAGTCAACCGAGGATTTGCTCGATCTTGAGCGACGGATATACAATCGTTGCTTTGCCGTCCTGGGTAGGTCAATACTCCGGCACTTATAGCTTGTTCCACCTACTCTGTGGGGAAATCAACCCGAGGCGACAAACTGGGACCTAGGCACGTAAATTCTTCTTGGCCCGAATTAAGTTTGCGCGCGTCGCATTGGCATTTTCTGGAAACAGACAGCGGGTATATATGGACACTCATGACCTTGGAGAATTTCGAGTCGCCAGGAAACCACTCGAGATCCTTGCCCACTATCATGACAAAGTTACCCCCAATGAGGTGATCGCCAACCACCTTCCCGGGATGGTTACTGAGTATAACCCCCAAAGCGGGTCCAGACTTTCCATCTTGGGGGTCTTGGCAAGCATGGAAATGACAAACAAAAAGTTGTTATATTTGAAGTAAACCTCGACCTTGTGTTTCTAATGAACACTTTTCCTTCTCTATCCGCTTAATGCCGGCTTTCCTTGCTCTCCAACCAATTGCCGACTCAAAATGGAGCTGGTATCGTAGGAGACACGCTTTAACCCAGCCGGATGGACGATCGACAGCCGACTGAGAATGATACGAAGCTGAAATATTCGAAGCGGTCCAAAATTGGCTCACTCTTGGCTCAGACATTAAGCCGGACGGCACACCACTTGCAATCACGTATGATGGCCAAGCACCCTAGAATATATGCAGAGAGAATCCTCCATGTGTATTTTTCCAACCTTTCGAATTAGTCATTATCCTATCTTTTACTTCTGAAATCAGGCCGGGAATTCGTGACGCCCGGCAGCTGAGTCTGGGTGGTGAGTGTTTCCCATGAGCTCCACCGGTCCCGGGGATGTCGACTTTGGTGCTTCGCTGTTGCTGCATATTAGACACGCGTTTCTTCAATCAGGTAGATTATTCAGCAAGTGGCTCACCTTTGACCATGGACATCCGACCACTGACTGGTCAATCCTGGACTGGGGTATCCGGCGTACGACATGTGCGGGCTGCCGGTTTGCGACCACTGAGCTGGGCTCATGCTTCGGTAAGGAGCCTCAGACTGGGCGTAATGTGAGGAATCTCTGTACATTGGCGGCGGCGGGCTCTTGGGGTGTCCGTTGTAGTTGGACTCGATCATGGACGCCGACGGTGGGTTGGCCACGGTGCTCTTGCGATATCCCTTTTCGATTCCTCCCTTGCGACCGCAGAACCATATGAGAGCGACTGCGCCAATGAGCACTACCGCTCCTCCAATGGCGATACCAGCGATGGCGCCAGCAGACAGTGAACTACCATGTTGTTCGCTGCTGGAGCTCGATGGAGTTGATGTCGAACCTAAACCTGTGCCGGTCGTCGTTCCGTATTCGCTTGGGATCGACTCTCCGGGGGACAATTGATATTTCACATCGGCAAGCGCGGCCTTCTGGGCAGCGAGGGTATATGTGTCATTCTGTAACGACAGTTAGGAGAATTGAACCAATAGTGTGCAGAAGAGGCAGGGTTCAACTACTCACGGGGTTGATTGCGCCAACCATATGTGAGCTAATGCAACTGCCTGGTGCCGAGCTTTTTTCCAAGTCAGTATCAACCTGTCTATCCAGAATCCAAGGTCGACATACCAGTAGAAGAAGATCGGGTCTGTATTATTTACTGTCAAGAGCCATACGGGCTGCTCGTCGCCTGTTGACGAGATCTTGGGCCCACTGAAAAAAGTGTCGCCACCTGGATTGACATAATTATAGGGAACTATTGTGATCTTGTTTTAGTATGATGCAAGACTTTGTCGACAAGTCACCGTTCATGATTTTGCTGCGCGACTTACTGCATGGATTTTCATAAGCCGCTCTCACTACCGAGTGATTTGTGGGATAAAATATGAACTCTAAAGACTGGTCAGCAACTTGGACGATCCAGAGGCAGTCACTTGGCCATCACATACTGATAACATCACCCGGTTCTGCAATGATAGAGTCTGGGTTGAAGTCGTGGTTCAAACCGACGCTTACTGTCGTTGTTGTCGGTGTCCTTGTGGATGATGACTCGGTAGCACTGAGCTCAGCTGCGGTGGTGGTAGGTGTCGTAGCAGACGAAGCGGAGGCTGCCGCCGTCGTACTAGACGCAGATTGACCGAATGATCCAGTGGCCAATATGGCCGCAGCGACCAAGACCGACTTCATGATGAATTAGTACAACTCGGTCTGGTCTGAGATATAATGATATTGTGACCGTCTCTTCTTCCAACCTCGATTACAAAGGCCGCGGGGTAGAGAAAAGCAAAGTAGAGAGAGCCCGGTGTCAGCAGCAGCGGGCGGGAAGATGCAGGATATCATGTTTGCTAGATTGATTTCGGCCCTTGGCAAAATGGTCAGACAAGACTTGCAAGGCTGGACGATGTACATGATGGGGGCGGATTGGGATGTTGGGTCCATGCAAGGCATGCAAGTGTGTGTCGGTCCGCCGGGGGCACAAGCGATCAAAGACCGTGTATCCAAGCCCCCCTTGCTGGCCGAATAGAGTCTTGGCACCGGATGAGCATCATCGGCGAATCCTGGAGCGCACGAATGAGAGTCGACTGGGCTGCAGGTGAAGCGAATCACGGCCGTCGAGAATGCGGGTGTCGACACCGTATGGAGCGTACGGCTGATGCCCAGTTCCCAGTGGCGCTGTTAGCGGCGACAGGGAGCCTGGCGAAGAGTGGAGCGACTCGATCTTTGTCTGTACGGAACATACCTAGACTGTGGAGAGAAAGTAAGCAGCTAGATTCGATCGACACCTATTAATAGCAGCCCTTTGGAGATGGATTTTCTTTGCTCTGGAGAGACATGTAAGGACTTGGTGAAACCACTTTTTGCTTCTTCGTCGACCATAGTTCATGACCGGCGGGCAGGAAGCTTTGTGGGCAGCCCGTAGCGTCCAAGATGGTCGATACTTATTTTCTGGTAGTATTCGTGGCCTCTGATCACGAGCCATGAACGAGTTGGACAATGGGACGAACCTTGAGAACTCAAAGATGCCGTCCAATAGTTTGTCTTGTTCCCCATTTTCGTATGGGCACACGGCCAAATCCCCAGGATTCATATGCCAATTTAATCCTTCCGACCAGGGCTGCACAGACTCTGGGTCTACCTGTGTAGCCTCGACCTTGGGGGTTAGCATCCCCCTTGACAGCAAAGATTTATTTCTTTACACAACACAGCGACACTGGAATGAGTAGCAAAGTTTGCAGAATACAATGAAAACTCTTTGCAAACACAGGATGGAGTCGTATTATTCGTTGAAATTATTGAACTTTTGCAAGCTTTTTGCTCTTGTAAGCTTTTCTTCAAAACCCAGAACCAAATCATTTGAAATAGCGCAGAACTCAAACGCGCTGGTTGCGATTTAAGGGTCATTTAGGGCTGGCGCGGCCCAGGCTTAGTGGTGATATACTTCATTCCTAGCGCTGGACGCATAACATCACAGGCCTCGAACTATAATCATCTCAGCCTCATCTAGAAGTGGTTTCGTCTCAAGTCGCTTTGCCTTACGTAAAGCTCACAAGTAAAAGAAGAAAAAATCTGATTGCAACGTCGCATCTTGTAAAAGCCGTCAAAGGTGTGCCAAACATTCCTTTGCGACTTGGATTGCTACAGCTTACAGCAAACCCCAAAGTGGCTGACCATCTACATCTGTCACCCTTGTACACAATAGAGTCCTAGACTGCTGGTGACCCGCTAGACCCCTACCAAGACTCAGCCAACCGACAAGCTAATCAATCGTACAGCTAGCTAATCTAGCCTATAATGTATCCACCCTGTCAACGAGAAGTGCAAGAGGGACTTTGTGACATTGTCTGCCAAAACTGTGCCAATAAGATAAAAACCCTGGCCAGGCACCGGGCAATGATCCCTTGAAGCACTGGCTTTTTGCACCGCTGTGACTTGTGCAAGTCATATTTGCCAAAAACGTATGTAAGTCGGGTACCTATCTAGTACTGTGTAGGGGGGCATTTCCACGTGGACATCCACATGTTTCCCAAGGCACATGCAAGATCAAGCAGTGTAATATATCTCAAAATGACGTCTTTAGTGTATTAGAGAAATATAATCCATGCAATGGATCGTTGTACAGTATTAAAAGATCAAGTTTCTCGCTTCCACCCTGCCGGCACTTTCATGTGCCGCTTGAAGATTAAAACTGCCAGGAGTCGGCTCCTCCATTGAAAGCGATCACGTTTGGGCTCCCATTGCCGCCATCCTTCACCTTTCCAGTCGTGGCCAGCTTCAACAGCCGCTGCCTGACCGCGGTAGGGCCCGTTATTCCTTCGCGCGACATAAGATAGACGGCAAGTCCGGCAACATGCGGCGCAGCTATAAAATTGACCAGACATCTTAGCATACCCAAGCCTCAGGCGTGGCCGATGAAGGAAGATTCAGAGATGGAGTCAACGAAAGGAACATACCCATACTAGTCCCGCTTTCCGTGGCATAAGCCCCATCGCCCGTGAACCAGGCACTATAAATGTCCACCCCGGGTGCAAACACGGCGACATTGGTTCCGTAGTTGGACCACGGCGGCCGGGCGTCTCCCTGGTCGACGGCGGCCACGGTGATGGCGCCGGGCGCTCGGGCAGGAGAGTAGCCCGATGCGTCCGCGCCGTAGTTGGAGGCCGCGACGATAATGCTCATGCCCGAGGCCGTGGCGTTGCTCACGAGGTCGTCCAAGGGCTGAAATGTTGTTCCACCTATCGACATGTTGATGACGGAGCGTGTGATGGCCTTGCGGGCTTTGGCGTCGCCGACGGCTTTGTTTATACGTGTCAGCATGTCGACGTCGTCCATAAAAAATTGATTAGAGCATGCTCACCCCAGTCGATGGCTGCCAGGATACCAGACCATGTCCCACTAGAATTCTTGTCGAGACATTTGACAGCGATGGGAGTGGTGGTATTGTCTACGCCGACTGTATTACCTGCCGCTGTAGCGCAAGTGTGCGTTCCATGGCCATTCTCGTCCGTGTTCTGGAATTGTGACATTAGTAGATGGACAATCGAAGAGCTTGGTCAAGCCCAGAAGGATTTTGGGGCTCTGGCGCTCAACAAGGAACTTTATACCGGTGAGTTGTCGATAAAATTGGCTCCCCAAATCGCACGACCTCCAAACTCCTTGTGCGTGATCCGGACACCAGTGTCAAGGCAGTAGAGATATGTGCGCAAACTCTTTTGACTGATATAGTTTGTCGTCCCGGCTTCACGATGCGATATCCGGCTTAGTCCCCATGGTGGTGTAGTCTGGATCTGGTCATCCCTGGGTTCGACTTCTGGCGCTGGGATGACACGCTGACCATACACGTATCCATCCTGGTAAACAGATTCCACCTATATTCAAATTAAGTAGCTGTTCCTTCGTTGTTTCTTCCAGTGTTGAGTAATGGTTACACGTACGGACGGGTTGTTTCGAATAGCATCAATGACCTTGTCATCACATTCGATATGAACGGCGCTGTACTCGACATTGTCAAACGAATTGATGATGCCGCGATAACCAGTGCCCGGAGGCTTTCCAAAGCTCGTGGCTCTGAGGGATTTGTAGAACTTGTTGACTTTTGTAGTGTCGAGGGATTGCTTGAGCGTCACGACATAGTTGTTTGGAATGTCTGTACCGTCGTCGCGGGCGTGGAGCGGCGCCTTTGCGGAAACCAACGTCAGCGCGGCAGTTAGAGGTATGGTTGGAAATTTCATGATACTGGTCTGTCTTGAAAATATAATTGAGTTCTTAATCAATACTCTCTTTGTCTTATTCAGACGGTTGCTGGCTGGTAAAGAAGGAGATGGGATCGATATTCATACGATTTGTTATGTCTGAGCACATTAACTTTTCTTTAGTTGATGCTATTGTGCTTTATATGTGATTTTGAAATACGTCTTAGGTGTTGAATATCACATAATCAAAAAAGTATTCATAAATTCGAGAGGGAAAAACGTTGCATGTGATCATATTCCGCTTCGACGTCTCAATTGGTCTTCGTGGGAACAATCAATGTACCCTTGCAGCATAATTTCAATAAACCTCATTTTAGCACCAAGATATTAACAACCACGATACCAAGAGAAGCTTGTGGCTGAATCCATGTGCGACAATACTGGACCCGGTTAAGCGGTGCGCATAACGATAATTGTCCAAACCATCTTTGAGGGCGAGCACGTCTGTCTTAAGTCCTGTTGCACCAATATATGATCGGAGTAGCGAGATTGAAAAGCGACTTTGATCGCTGAATAATTGAAATGACAAGCAGCAACATTCTGCAAGTACTCTAGGTTAGTTGACTCTTAATCGCAAAACACAAATCGACGACTGTGGTTGTGTATATTGATCTCCTTGAATTATATTTTCTCAGATTCGTGATGGAAATAAAGTGTTGCCATTCATCATCCAGATCATCACTGTAACCAAAGCAAATCTGCACAAGCCATAGTTCACCACTGAGTATTTTGTTTGAGTGAGATCCAATTTTAACTACCAACTCCCAAGCATGGCGGCTGAACGGTCTCGGACAATTTCCTTCTATCAATGTTTGTACTCGGATCTTGGTTGTACAGTTGGCGTTTAAACGTCATGAGGCTGAACCATTCCTTGATGGTATTACGTGGCCACCCAGTCGGATTATTCGGCCTAAAATGCAGATCGACCTCTGGTAGCAAGCAAAATCCATGAACTCCATCCTCAATATGTCCAAGTATGAGTTTCTATCACATGTCCCGCATTCTCGGATGTGGTTTTGAGCAAGGCAGGCAACCAAGGGTCATGGCTGAATTTATTGAAATGATATTGAGTCAATAGTACTTTGAACTATGAACTTGTTCGCGACGTGATTGAAGTGGAGTCGCGGAAACGTGAGTTGAGCTTCGAGAGACTTGCTCGTCAGCTTCACTGGGAATTGAAAACCTCCATCACACGACGAGCAGCCCGCTTATGGTCCCTGTACGGTGATTGACGCGCTACCACTGCTTTGGTAGCCCTCGGTCGCCACAATCTGGTAGTCGTGACTGCCAAGAGTGAGACCGTACTGCTTCCAGGCGTCGAAATGGTTCTGGACCGTGACGGTGCCTCCGACACGCTTGCTGGTGCGGACAGACCAAAACTGCTGGAACGTTGCAGTGCCAATGATGGAAGGCTGGTTGGTACGCGTGGTCTGATAGATGTCATAGGTACCGCCGTCGCTGGTGACTGAGCCCTTCTTCTGAGCGGCTGAGCCGGGGTTGTACGTGCCGTACGCCTCGACAATGTAGTATTCGATGAGAGGGTTCTTGGTCCAGCCGTAGACAGACAGGTACTGAAGACTCAGGAGTCAGCAAACACGATTCTCTGTTGCCCCTTTTCCACCTTTCTCCAAGCGACTATCTTTCGGCGGCCTTCACGGTATGAGGTAAAAAAAAAGGCCCGAGATGGATGTGGTTCCAAGCTGTATCACTTACGCTGTTCACGCTGGCACCATTCCAAGTGCCATTGTAGCTAATGACGCGAGAGGCACCGGGGTTCCATCCCTTTCCGGCAACAAAGTTGTTGACGCTTGACCACTGTACATCGTAGGAACCGCCAGCTCCGTTGTTGTAGGTCACACTGCCTCCACCATCAGTCCAAAATGAGTAGAAGAATCCGTTGTTGGTGCCAGTGCCAGGTGAGACAGCTCGCTGTTCGATCTTCTCGTGAAGGCCATCGAGGGCTTCGAGCTCAGCGAACGGGGCGGCCAAGACACCGACAACTGCCGCACAGGCGAGGAAGAATTTGGAAGCAGAAACCATGATGGTCGTGAACGAGTTGTAGGAATGTAGGTAGTGATGCACACAGATTTCGAGATGATCGATGTGCTGAGAACACCAACGTAGTTATATGCAACATCAACGACCCCTGCCCAGAGAAGTTGCCTCATACTCAATCGGCTCACTTATTGTTTGCATGTCAATATCAAACTGCGGTAAGGTGCAGGAGTATAACCAGGTTCTGTGGCTATAGCGCATATCCAACAGCGGCCAATCCCCAATTGCTCGTGAAGGATATAGTGATTTTGTGGGGTAAAACTTACCGGATCTGGAAGACGCGGCGATCTATGGTGACGGCACGGGAGACTATTCAATTAGCCGGCGGTTAAAATGAGCTGGGCGTACTTTTTCGTGTACCGGTTGGTGATGGGTTGGCTCCGAAGGCGGTAGCATCGCAAGCATGACCCATGATAGCTTCATTGACGATTTGACTACTGCATTCCGGCTGATCTAAACGTGGGCTTGGCTTCTGACAAGCTGGGGTATGATGTTAAAGTCAGTCGCCTCGGCTCCTCTACCGCAGGAGTTTGTCATTCTGCCCGTATCCTCACGTCACTGCTAAATGTTTTGATTTGGGTCGGACAAGCGGATAGCATAGCATGTTCTCGGACTTCCCGTGACCGGTGGCAAGCAGAAGTGAATATCATCCAGACAAACTGACAACCAAAAATAGAATCGCCACTCATGAGTACCGATTCGTCGAGCCGGATGGAACGATATGGTAATTGTGAGACGAAGCGATACGACTTGGTATACGAATCATCCCATAGTTGTTCGTGACTCGAGGAAAGATATCATCGAGGCAAGAGCAAAACGGGACATGAGCTTCTTGGCAATACTTTATGGTGCCATGATGCCATCAACTTGGCGATAATCAGTCTTGAGCTCAAAGGACCCATCAAGTCCCACAAGGCCATCTGTCCGAGACCATAACAGGCCTCGACGGCTTACGGAATTGACTCTCCGTACGCGATGGTGAAGCTGTGAACTTGCTTCTTTTCATAAAGCTACCAATGAGCAGGCTGCACCAGGTTGACACGTAGGACGCGTACAGGGTAGAGTGATAAGACCTTGAAAGTTGTGGCCTTCTCATCAGCGAGGGGAATATTGAATCAACTTGTAATTAAAGCATCAGATGAGAGAACTTGATGTTGCATGTGTCATTGATGGGGCTACATAGTAGATATTGCAATGTAGATAATGTCAATATCGTCATGCCAGTATACCTAGTGTACACTGTATCTTAGGTACGTATCACGCTGAAGCGACTCATCAGCGGCTCAACTGCTTGGAGCGACCCCAGTAACCGTCCCCCTGTCTGCCGACTTTAGGGGCTTTCAGCACAGACCAATCAGGGTCTAGTGCCCATTAACGCGTCTATGAGTGCCCCAGACGCGCCGCCCGAGCTCTCTCCAAAAAGTCACGATACTTATGACGAAACCAATCTAGGAGAGCATTCAAGCAGAACATTCCACCACTGTTGTCTCAGCAGACCCTCAAGCCGTCATCTGCCATGGCTGGTGCGTCAAAGGAAAAGAAGCAGCAGTCATTGACTAGCTTCTTTACTCCCAAGAGCGTCAATGGTTTGAATGCACACGTCCAACGAACACTGAGCCAGAGCTCGCCGGCCAGTGACGGAAACGAAAACAAAGACAAGGAAACGCCTACGGGATCCAAGAAACGACCACTACAGCGAAATACCGACGACGGAAATGAGACCCCGACGAAGCGTTCCAAGAATGACGAAGATAATGACAAAAGCGCCTTCTTTTCAAAGTCACCTCAAAAGTCACCAGTGGTGACCAAGACGGATGCCGGGCCCATTGCGCGGACGCAGCGGTATCTATACAACGGCTCGAGCCAAGACGGCGCTGCGCTGGAAGCAGTTGCCGAGAACGAAGATGCTGTCGAGAAGCGAAGGAAAGCCGACCTCCATCAAAAGTTTGTCAAGAAGCTAGGCAAGCCCGATAGCATGGCACAGCTTCGGCGCCGTAACTTTTCGGCCGAGGACGAAACGCAAGGAGGCGAAGGCGAAGACGCCGATGATGTTGAAGACGACGAGCCACCACCGCCCCCGAAAGGCAAGAAGAAGGGCGCCAAGACCGGAAAGCTTACCCCAATGGAGATACAATTCCTAGACATCAAGAGGAAGAACATGGACACTCTGCTGGTGATGGAAGTAGGATACAAATTCAGATTCTTTGGCGAAGACGCCCGGATAGCTGCCAAGGAGCTGAGCATTGTGTGCATACCGGGCAAGTTCCGCTACGATGAACATCCCTCTGAGGCTCATCTTGATCGTTTTGCATCGGCCAGCATACCGGTCCACAGATTGCCCGTCCATGTGAAGCGGCTGGTTGCTGCCGGCCACAAGGTTGGTGTGGTGAGGCAGATTGAAACGGCTGCTCTGAAGAAGGCAGGCGACAACCGAAACGCTCCATTCGTCAGAAAACTCACCAACGTCTACACCAAGGGCACTTATGTGGACGAGATCGGCGAGCTAGAACAGCAATCAGACTCGGGAGCACCGGCAGCTGGTTACCTACTCTGCATCACAGAGTCGAAAGCAAAGGGCTGGGGTACAGATGAAAAGGTTGATGTTGGCATCATTGCAGTGCAACCAGCTACGGGCGATATCATATACGACAACTTTGAGGATGGATTCATGAGGAACGAGATTGAAACAAGACTACTCCACATCTCCCCATGCGAGTTTCTCATTGTTGGCGAACTCACAAAAGCTACCGACAAGCTAGTCCAGCATCTCTCCGGGAGTAGCACCAATGTCTTTGGCGACAGAAGTCGGGTGGAACGGATCTCCAAGTCCAAGACCATTGCTGCCGAAGCATATTCCCATGTCACACAATTTTATGCCGGGAAACTAAAGGAGAACGCCGCAGGTAATGAGCATGCAAGCGCTTTGCTGGACAAGGTGCTCAAACTGCCAGAACCTGTGACTATCTGTCTATCGTCCATGATTAATCACCTGAAGGATTACGGTCTCGAACATATCTTTGACTTGACGAAATACTTTACATCATTCAGCGCTCGCTCGCACATGTTGGTCAACGGTACCACATTGGAGAGTCTCGAGGTTTACCGGAACCAGACCGACCATGTAGAGAAAGGCAGTCTGTTCTGGGCACTCGACAAGACCCAGACACGGTTCGGGCAACGTCTGCTTCGAAAGTGGATAGGCCGCCCACTGCTGGACCAAGCACGGTTGGAAGAGCGCGTTGCTGCAGTAGAAGAACTTTTGGCAAAGGCGTCGACGCCTAGTGTGGACCAGCTCGAGAACCTCTTGATAAACACCAAGACTGACCTGGAGAGGAGCCTCATCAGGATATACTATGGCAAGTGTTCTCGGCCCGAACTTCTCGCTTCCCTTCAAGCACTCCAAAAGATTTCGACCGAGTTTTCTCGAGTCAAATCGGCAGCAGACAGCGGCTTTGATTCGTCGGCAATCAGCGGCGCTGTCCTCTCTTTGCCGCAGATTCTGCCCATGGTGCTTTCGTACCTGGAACGGATCAATGCCGAGGCGGCCCGAAAGGACGACAAGTATGCATTCTTTCGTGAAAATGAGGAAACAGAGGATATTACCGACCACAAACTTGGCATTGCCTCTGTTGAGCAAGAACTCGATGCTCATCGCAAAGTCGCCGCACAAAAGCTCAACAAGAAAACTCCAGTCACATATGTCACCGTGGCAGGAATCGAGTACCTCATCGAGGTCTCAAATACAGACTTGAAGCATGTGCCGGCATCGTGGGTCAAGATTTCTGGCACCAAGAAGCTCAGTCGCTTCCATACCCCAGAGGTTGTGCGACTCATCACCGAGCGCGACCAACACAAGGAATCCCTTGCTGCTGCATGTGACGCGGCTTTTGCAGAACTTCTTGCGTCCATTGCTTCCGACTATCAACCTCTGCGTGATGCTGTGTCGGCCCTGGCTACCCTCGACTGTCTGCTCTCGCTCTCCAAGGTTGCCGCCCTGCCAGGCTACAGCAAACCCGTCTTCTTGCCAGCCGATTCTGCTCCGACTGTGACCATCACCTCTGGCCGGCACCCTATTGCAGAGCACACTCTGATGACGTCGTACATCCCCTTCACCACGACGCTCTCCTCGGCTCCTCAGACTTCATCAGACTCCCCCGTGTCACCGGCCCAGCTCATCACCGGCCCCAACATGGGCGGCAAGTCGTCATACGTCCGCGCCGTGGCACTACTCGTCCTCATGGCGCAGATCGGCTCCTTTGTGCCCGCCGAGGCCATGTCCCTCACCCCGTGCGACGGCATCTACACCCGCATGGGCGCATCCGACAATATCTTTAGCCACGAGTCCACCTTCATGGTCGAGGTCAATGAGACGGCGCAGATCCTGCGCTCCGCTACTCCCCGCAGCCTCGTCATTCTCGACGAGCTCGGTCGCGGTACGAGCACGCACGACGGCGCCGCCATTGCCCAAGCTGTTCTGCAGCATGTCGCCGAGGACATTGGGTGCCTGACCCTCTTCATCACCCACTATCAGAATCTGAGCCTCGTTGCCGACGGTATCAAAGGTGGCAAGGTTCGAAACATGCACATGCGATTTACCGCCACAAGACGTGGAGAAATCGCCAATGATGCTGATGACTGGGACGGGGATGAGGAGATCACTTTCCTGTATGAGGTGGGCGAGGGCGTTGCTCATCGCTCGTACGGTCTAAACGTGGCAAGGCTGGCCCGGATTCCGGGCAAAGTCTTGGACGTGGCAGCCAAAAGGTCTAGAGAGTTGGAAGAGGAAATCAAGGGGCGGCGGCTAAATGGCACTGCAAAACTATTAATGGATGTGCTAGACACTGGTGTCGATCAGCTTGATCACCTCATTTCGAGCATCGAACAATTGTAGACCCATACATAGCTGAGTACATTTCACGATCCCTTCAAAAGCGTATTGTTGCAAAGAAATATGCGATTGACTTGGCTAGAAGACTGCGTGAAATGCTAATATACAGCTTGGCGCCTTTCTACCGAGTGAAAAAAATGATGCCCTCCCATTTGTCTAGCATTAGAGATGCCCAAACCGTCGCCATTGCTTCCCCAATGACTCTGAAAATGCTTCACAATATAATGGGCTCTGATGAGATTGCCCCAATGTTCTCCCAAGTTTTAGTCCTCGCTGCTGGGACTTGCGAGAAGAAGTGGTGATAAAAGAAATAGAACCAGACTCCACCAATGAAAAGAAGGAAAGAGGGTAAGCATGTATATCTGGACTTGTTAGTCAAGAGATCGTCTGTAGATGTTGGGATTTGCTCACCTGCCGTTCTGAGGCCCGTATTACGGAGCTGAGATATGCTGGATACCCCTTAAGAAAACATCGAATAAAGCTGAGATCAGATTCCGTACTCGCCACCATTTTGATATGTAGGGGCGCGATAGAGCGCTGGATCTTGCGCACCCACATTGAGAGAGTTGAATCCAGAGTTGCTGATAGGTTGGAAACCAGCTGCAAGTGACCTCGAACTATCATCCCATGGGTAACCTCGAATGGTGGGATTGTCTTGGTTCTGTACACGCAAGGGATTGAAAGAGCCCTCTCCAAAAGTATCAGAGCTAGGCATATATGGATTGAAGACTGCAGGCGAGTCTCCTGAAAAAGTGCCATGTTCATTCTCCTTGCCAGAGAAGAGACGAGCAGGTCCATGGCGCTTGAAGACTGGTGTCGGTGACAGCAGCGGGACATTGACATTGGTGTTGAGAGAACGCAGTGCGAGCCGAGAGAGACCATCACGCCTGCAGAGAGATTAGTAAGCTGTCTACCGATTGGGGATTGTTCAGACATACTGTCGACGATGAGGCACAAAGTAATCGGCCGATTCTGGCGCAATGGTTAGACACCGCAAGAATACATTGCCATTTTATCGAAGGGAAACCAACCCTTGACAGGCTGTGAATCGATATTGCCACTAGGCATACCGGCTCTGTACACATCATATGTGAGAGCGTCACATCTCATTTGATCGTCATCCTCTCGAGGCAATCCGTCGTCCTGCAATGGTGGATAGCTAGACACGGAAGTACCGTTGGATGTTGTGGATGGAGCCGAGTCTTGTGCAGCAAGAGAATTCACTGAAGAGTTCTCAGGGAGTTCCACAGGCTCTGGAGATGTTGCGTGGACTGTAGAAACCTTGGCTGGCTGACGCGGCTGTCTGGCTCTACCACGTTGACGAGTCATTCGGCGAGTAACGCGAGTGGCTGGAGCAACACTCGATTCACGAGACGTCGTTTCCTCGACTTTGATCTTGGAGGCACGCGCTGCTCTGGCAGTGTTTCTGCGAGGCTTGGCTGCAGGGCTTCGCTTTGCCTTCTTCGGTGGCTTGGATTCCTCATCTTCATCCTTTCGCGGGGGTCAGTAGCTATTGGCAACATCCGGGGGTCTGATACGACCAAGGCAACATACATCACTTCCAGCAATGGAGGGTTCATCGTAGACATCCCGCCAACGAACATGATTGAAGTTCAGATCTGTCACCTGCTCGACAGTTCGAACAGCTCGAGAGCTAGCCTCCATATGGACTAGGACAGAAGGGTCCTTCTTCTGGTTTCGCCTCTTGCGTTGATCCTCGGGTGCAGCATCAAAACCACCAACACCCTCAAGCTTGGAAATGTCTCCCTTGAGATACTTGCGAAAATGCTTCTGCTCAGTCGCATCGTCATCGCGTAGCTGGGGTGCGGCGGGAGCATCGTCTTCGAGCACTGTCGTGTTCATAGTGTCTTCAGACTGAGGAATGCTGCTGTTGATCTCGTCATCATCGTCCTCGGCCTCAGCTTCGGACGGTTCATACACGGATGAAACTTCAATATCGTTGTTTCCCTCATCTGCGTCAGGTAGAGGAAGATCAACGTCAATCAAGTCAAGATCCTGTTGGAAGTCATGTTCAAAGTAAGCACCGTTCCAAGGAGGCAAATGTGTTGTCCACTGCTGAGTGCCGTGGGCGGCTTCCCATGGTTGTTGAGCATGCACATGTTGCAAACCGGCAAAGTCTGAGACGGGGTCGAGGTCGTCCTGGGGATTGTAGCTGGTAGCCCTTGCGTAGGTTGACGGAATGGAACTGTCGACAAGGCGCTGCCCCGACTGTCCAGTTAGACCACGCACGCAACGGCTGACTCCAAACACAATCACTCGCGAGGATCCAGACTTACCCGATTGTCTCTTTTCACAGCAGCCTTTCCTTTCTTATTGCGACTCACCATTGATGCATGTCCGCCGCCACGTAGGCTGAGGGACTGGCTTCCTCCACGCGTAGCACTGCGGCCACGACCACCATTGCTTTTCTGAATCCTGTTCTCGCTTCTATCCTGAAGGAGTCCCCGAATGTTGTGTCGATCGAACCAGGCCTGGTACTCGTCGAGTCGGCGCTGGGCGTCGTGATCGGCGACCTTGGCAATGTCCAGCTTGAACATGTTGGACAGATGGCCCTTGGAGGCGATATGAGTGAGCAAATGAGAGACATCGGAGAACTTGGATGTCTTGGGGCAGATGGTGCAAATGAGAGGAATTGGTTGGATTGCAGTCACTGCCGCCTTGCGTGCCGCGGCATGGTCGTCGTCCATGGTGTCGTTGGACCAGCGTCGGCTTCGACGCAGCTGATCGGAAGCACCGAGTGATGGGACGAGTTGGAAGTCAAGGAGAAAGTGAGAGGGAAACTTGGGTGAGACTGGATGCATGTACAACTCCAAGAAGGGATGAACTGGTCGGTGCGATGAAGCAGTAGGTCGGTAGTCTTGCTTCACACCAGTGGCCGAGAAGAGGAAGGCAGGCAGATACGGGACGATAATAACAAAAGGCAGGAAACAAGTCAATTATAGGAGAAAAGAATAGGAAAGGTACGTCAAGAGGAAAGAACAAAGTAAATAAAAATCAGAACTTACGCGCCCAAACCCCAAGATGGGAAGGAAGGACCTCCGACTTGGTGGTGAGGTTGAGGTTGAGGGAAGGAGCGTTGTTGAGCCCCTGCTCACAGGATGAAAGATTTGGGCAGTCGCGTAGACCCAGTATGGAGAAAACAGCGAGTCGGACAGAGCCTCTCACCGCCAGGTCGACCTTTTGGAATAATACCGTGTCAAAACGATTACTCCAGATGGACCCGAATGACATCAAGCCACTTGGTCATGTAACCAGGTTGAACCAAAGCTGTCTGAATGCGCAAGGCACAGGTATCAGCTCCGATTAGAATCAAGAAAGTTAATTTCAATGGCAAAGAATGCAAATTAAAGACAACAAATGGTTGTTGGAAATTGGATATATAGGTGAGCGGGCTTGCAACTCTCAAGTCCATTGTTCTCATTCTAGCGCCAGTCGTGATTGTTCCAAGCACGCACATTTTCATTGTATTGTTCTCTGAGTATTCGGGGGGTAAAATATCATTTGGTGCATGAGGACTATTGTTCAATGACCCAGGTCATCTACACGCATACGTAGCCATATCGTCCGATTCCACACATTTGCCTTGATTTGAAGTACTTACAACATACATTCTTACACCACGCATCTATCACTTGGTTCCATTTCTACCATCTGCGATGCAGCCTGTTACAGTCTTGTCTCTATACATTTCTGAAATTGTGCCAGAGTCCCCTCGTTCATGAGGTAGACACTCCGTTGATTGGATAGATGGGCAAAAAGTCGTTGTGCAGCAAGTACAAGAAGCATTTTTGTTGAGGGGCGAAACCTCCGTCGCTCTCCTTCTCCAAATTCCCGGATCAAATACAATGCTGTTGAATCAGATCAAATCGATGAACATGGCACCCTAGAATGTTCTCAACTTGCTTCTGGCACTACAAAGTCGATTACGGCTCTGAACCTGTGACGACAAATCATAGTCTTTGTAGCTTTGATTGACGCTCCCACCATTGCATGAGGCTCGTAGCTGCATGCACGTATGGATGCAAACGAGGAGCTCATATTCAAACAAGG